CAACAAAAAGAATTAAATATCTAGGAACAAACTTACCTAAGGAGACAAAAAGAACTGTACACAGAAAATTATAAGAAGCTAATGAAAGATATCAAAGAGGACATAAACCGATGGAGAGATATTCCATGTTCCTGGGTAGGAGAAATCAGTATTGTGAAAATGACTATACTACCAAACGCAATCTAGAGATTCAATGTAATCCCTATCAAATTACCAACGGCATTTTTCACAGAATTAGAATAAAAAATTTCACAATTCATACGGAAACACAAAAGACCCAAATAGCCAAAGCAGTCTTGAGAAAGAAGAATGGAACTGGAGGAATCAACCTTCCTGACTTCGGATTATACTACAAAGCTACGGTCATCAAGACAGTATGGTACTGGCACAAAAAACAGAAATACAGGCCAACAGAACAAGATAGAAAGCCCAGAAATAAACCCATGCACCTATGGGTACCTTATTTTTGACAAAGGAGGCAAGAATATAAAATGGGGCAAATACAGCCTCTTCAATAAATGGTGCTGGGAAAACTGGACAGCTACATGTAAAAGAATGAAATTAGAACACTTCCTAACATCATACACAAAGATAAACTCAAAATGGATTAAATATAAGACCAGAAACTATAAAACTCTTAGAGGAAAACATAGGCAGAACACTCAATGACATAAATCAAAGCAAGATCCTCTATGATCCACCTCCTTGAGTAACGGAAATAAAAAGTGTGACCTGATTAAACTTAAAAGCTTTTGCAGAGCAAAGAAAACTATTAGCAAGGTGAAAAGACAACCCTCAGAATGGGAGAAAATAATAGCAAATGAAAAAACAGACAAAGGATTAATTTCCAAAATATACAAGCAGCTCATGCAACTCAATACCAGAAAAACAAACAACCCAATCAAAAAGTGGGAAAAAGACCTAAACAGACATTTCTCAAGGAAGACATACAGATGGCTGACAAATACATGAAAAGATGCTCAACATCGCTCATTATTATAGAAATGCAAATGAAAACTACAGTGAGATATCACCTTACACTGGTCAGAATGGCCATCATCAAAAAGTGAACTAACAATAAATGCTGGAGAGGGTGTGGAGAAAAGAGAATGCTCTTGCACTGCTGGTGGGAATGTAAACTGATAAAGCCACTATGGAAGACTGTATGGAGATTCCTTAAAAAACTAGGAATAAAGTCAACATATGACCCAGCAATCCCACTCCTAGGCACATATCCTGAGGAAACCAAAATTGAAAAAGACACATGTATCCCATTGTTCATTGCAGCACTATTTGTAATAGCTAGAACATGGAAGCAACCTAGATGTCCATTAACAGATGGATGGATAAAGAAGTTGTGGTACATATACACAATGGAATATTACTCAGCCATAAAAAGGGACATATTTGAGTCAGTTCTAATGAAGTGGATGAACCTAGAACCTATTACTCAGAGTGAAGTGAGTCAGAAAGAGAAAGATAAATACTGTATTCTAACACATATATACGGAATCTAGAAAAATGGTACTGAAGAATATATTTACAGGGCAGCAATGGAGAAACAGACATAGAGAATAGACTTAAAGACACAGGGAGAGGGGAGGAGAGGGTGAGATGTATGGAAAGAGTAACCTGGAAACTTACATTACCGTGTAAAATAGATAGCCAACGGGAATTTGCTGTATGTCTCAGGAAACTCAAACAGGGGCTCTGCATCAACCTAGACGGGGTGGGATGGGGAGGGAGATGGGAGCGAGGTTCAAAAGGGAGAGGATCTATGTGTACTTGTGGCTGACTCATGCTGAGGTTTGAAAGAGAATTTTGTAAAGCAATTATCCTTCAGTTCATAAATTAAAACATAATGAGAACACACACACACACACACACACACACACACACACACACACACAAGATGACGCCTCAAAGCTCAGTCCCAGGGAGGCTGTTTTGTCTTGGAATTGGTAGCAGTTTCCTTGCCTGGTGCTGCTTTGTCTTTGTCTTTGGCTTAAATGATAGTGAAGACAGCTTGATTCTGGACCAAAAAACACCTGTTGGATACTAAGAAATCATGTTCTATCTCAGGTCCTTAACAAGGATGGAGAAAATCTCAGAATGAAATCCAGAGATGCCCCCTTCCTCAGTTGGTACCTCTGGGCATGGCCTTGGTGTCTTTCATTTTAAATAATCCAGTGTATCTGCCTCTACCTTTCAAAGGAATCTGAAGGAAACGTTCTCTGCCAAGTCCCAACCGAGTCCCTGTGACACTCAAGAACGTGGGCCAGGCTCTCGTGTAGGTTAAGGAAGCCTGAGAAGGGTAAAGATTATAGACAAACAGTCTACCTTTCTTTACAAGGTCTTGTTTTGCATCTCTGAAATCTCAGATTCAGCTATTACAATGAGGTCCTGTTGTAGAAAGAGCTGGCCTTTTATCACCACTTAAAATCTAATTAATCCATATTGAAGCACAAAGATTTCTGTTGTATTTTAGGGTGAGGGGTCATAGAGCTCGCTTTGTTCATCCTTAGACTTATACTCATCAAGCATAGGGGATATAATTTTACCAAGCAAATTGGAAGGTAACAGATCAAATCTTTATCGGAAAGCCTAACTCATAGTTTTAACAGAGCCCTTGGTCCTTTACATGAAACATTATATTCGAGAAGAACAAAAACGCATTTCAGAGTGTGCAAAGAGTTAATGACCAAAGCTTATATTCCCTGAGCGGCATTTAACCAAGATTGTCACACTACTACCCACCACGAGACGGCAGCTCCTATAGGGGTGGCGAGGGTCCTAAGGCCTGTTGCAATGGCTTCAGTCTTGAGAGTAGCAATGCAATTCGTGGGGATTTTGCTCTCATTTCTGGGATGGGTTTTATCCATTATTACGACTTACTTGCCACATTGGAAAAACCTCAACCTGGACTTAAATGAAATGGAAAACTGGACCGTGGGGCTCTGGCAAGCCTGTGTCGTCCAGGAGGAAGTGGGGACGCAGTGCAAGGACTTCGAGTCTTTCCTGGGTTTGCCTGCTGAGCTCAGGATCTCCAGGGTCTTAATGCTCCTCTCCAATGGGCTGGGGATCCTGGGCCTGCTGCTGTCGGGCTTCGGCCTGGACTGCCTGAGGATTGGAGAGACACGGCGGGACGCCAAGAAGCGGCTGCTGATCCTGGGAGGAATTCTGTTCTGGACAGCGGGCGTCACGGCCCTCGTTCCCGTCTCTTGGGTGGCCCACGTGACAGTCCAGGAGTTCTGGGACGAGAGCATCCCAGAGATTGTGCCCAGGTGGGAGTTTGGAGAGGCCCTCTTTATCGGCTGGTTTGCTGGATTCTCTCTCCTGCTGGGAGGGTGTCTGCTGAACTGGGCTGCCTGCGGGACCCGGGCTCCCCTGGCTTCTGGCCACTACGCAGTGGCAGAAACGCAAACGCAGTGTGCATACCTGGAAAATGGAACTGCCAACCCTTCGGTATAAGGCACTGAGGAAAACAGAGAGGTATATCTTCCTTCATCAACTGGGATGCAGTGTCTGCAGGAAAAAGGGGTCTTCGTCGTCTAACTAACTCTGTGCTGCTCATGTTTTCTCATCAGACAATAACTTTTCTATCCTAGATAGCTCATCCTCCCCAAACCTGGAGAAGTAAGAAAGAGGCCAATCTTATATCCAAAGAAAGTTGTGGTAACCATTTCATAGGTATGAACAAAAGAAATTTCATTGATCTGGTTATTTCAATCAAAACGTAGTGGCGATTGTCCAACAGAGTCAGCATTAAGCTTCATATGTTAATTTGATATTAGAAATTGTTCTTGGTTTTGTTGGCAGCTGAAATTGATAACTTGTTTCCTCAAGGAAAAAAAAAGCTAAACTAACAATTTGAAATCCTTTAAGCATTCTGTACTAGCAAAACCACATGCTAAGCCTCTCCAAAGTGCCATTTCCACAACAATGAGTTGGTCTTTCTTGAACAGAGGTGGTTTTTGTTTAGGAAATTACTAGGAACCCTGCTATGCAGGACTTTATGAGGCTGAAGGTTTTCAGTACATTGTGATACTCTTGAGATTTAAAATACCAGCCAATCTCTTCTCGTCTCTTCCCTCAAAAGCTTCAGACTTTAAAAAAACAATTCCAAAAATATTTTGCTTGTTATTCAGCTCATCAGGTGTAATAAAAACATTCCTTTGTTTGATTAAAAGTTACAAGCATGGAGATGAATTGAAAGGGATGTGGATTCTAACCTAGACAGTACTACTGCTTAACTTTTTTGCTGTTCAGGAAAAGAACCAAACAAAAACTAGCAAGTGTTTATGCCCACATGAGTGTAGCTGTCAGGAAGGCACTGGGGTTAAACAGACCTGATACTTAGTTCAGAATGGTTTCATATGTTATGGGGTATATGTAGCCTAAGAGATTAGAAAACAAAGTCTGATTTAAAGCCTACAGAAGAAATTTCTGTGATTGATTTGGTTAAGAAATACTTGTGCTGAAGCTATTTTTAAAGCCAATAACACTTACCACAACAGGCGTACTGAAACATGAGACCTTTGAAAAGAAGAAAATGTGACAGGTGCAATTAGATAAAAAGCAGCAGGAGTTGAACCAAACTGTCAATTAAACATTTTGCCTGGAGACTTCTTAATTCTTTGACTTATCAGAAAGTTTGGGAACAACACGAGAACCATTTATACATTCACAATGAGAGGATTATTACCAGTTCATGTTATTCTGGGGACAAACTGCATACTATGAAATGCAGTCCATAGGATGTGAACATGATCTTGGCCACACCTTGGCATGACTGGTTTGCAGAATTATTTCCCTATCCTTTTCTGAAATCTATTCAACACAGAATGGAACAATAGCAACTCTGGCAAGAATCCTCCTATATACACAATGAAAAAATAGTTTTGAGCTCTGCAAGTGATAATATTAATACAAGTGTCACACTTCTTTTCACAGCCACTGAAAGACAGGGGTGAGCCTGGCTAAGGTCGCAGGATTTTATGATGGCTTTAGTGTTTAGAGCGGTGGCACAATTAGCTGGAATTTCATTATCCTTGCTGGGATGGGTTTTATCCATTATTACGACTTACTTGCCACATTGGAAAAACCTCAACCTGGACTTAAATGAAATGGAAAACTGGACCGTGGGGCTCTGGCAAGCCTGTGTCGTCCAGGAGGAAGTGGGGACGCAGTGCAAGGACTTCGAGTCTTTCCTGGGTTTGCCTGCTGAGCTCAGGATCTCCAGGGTCTTAATGCTCCTCTCCAATGGGCTGGGGCTCTTGGGCCTGCTGCTGTCGGGCTTCGGCCTGGACTGCCTGAGGATTGGAGAGACACGGCGGGACGCCAAGAAGCGGCTGCTGGTCCTGGGAGGGATTCTGTTCTGGACAGCGGGCGTCACGGCCCTCGTTCCCGTCTCTTGGGTGGCCCACGTGACAGTCCAGGAGTTCTGGGACGAGAGCATCCCCGAGATTGTGCCCAGGTGGGAGTTTGGAGAGGCCCTCTTTATCGGCTGGTTTGCTGGATTCTCTCTCCTGCTGGGAGGGTGTCTGCTGAACTGGGCTGCCTGCGGGACCCAGGCTCCCCTGGCTTCTGGCCACTACGCAGTGGCAGAAACGCAGCCTCACCGTCTACATCTGGAGATGAAAACCACTCAGCTGAAACTCTAACCCAGAAGGGGTCCGCTGTGTCTCCTCCTCGGATGATTTGGTAGGACCTCCTGGTTACACAGTCACCCATTCACTATGCTTTCTGTTTTCTAAAATGCATTTTCCTCTGCTGTTTCTGAAACTGTCATTTCTTTCTAAGGTGGTAATGATTTTCTTCCACTCTGAGACCAAAACTATTCAAGACTTAATAGTCATCATACTCATTATTGGGGATGGGTTTTCTCAATTTTAAAATGGATTCAGGGACTGCACAGAACTGGTCAATAAAACATTATATTAGCATCTACACATCTTTTGAAGGTGTTATTCACAGAGAGAAAATCACTTGGCAAGTGAAAATGTTATTGATAACCATTGACTTCTTTTAAGTGTTTAAAATCATCTTATACTGAAACTGAAAGTCTGGTTTCCCTGGTGGCTCAGTGGTAAAGAATCGCATGGGTTTGATCCTTGGGTTGGGAAGATCCCCTGGAGGAGGAAAAGGCAACCCACTCCAGTTACCTTGCCTGGGAAATCTCATGGACAGAGGAGCCCGGCAGGCTACAGTCCACGGGGTGGCAGAGTCGGATGCAACTTAGCGACTAAACAACAACAAAAGTCTGGCAGTTTGTATACTAAGAGAATCGCTGGTTGTCTGAGAGCATGAGAGGTGCCTATGGGGGACACACCATCTCCTTTTTAACTGCAGAGCTTTGCGCCTCTTTGGAGACTTGCCTGAAGTAGAGGGCAGTCTGGGTTTTAAAGATTCATGTAAAAATCTACCACACAGATGTGCTTCTGCTTCTGTGCCCTGGGTCCTGGGGTAGAAGGAGCAGCCACAGGGGTGCTGGGGGCTAGGACTGGGGGGTGTGGGCAGAGCACTGCCCCCCTTCCTGGGCCCCTTTTAAAAGAATCAATGATATATATGGTCCAGCCAAGAGCTATTCACAACAAGCCGTGGGCTTGAGGAATTCTTCATGAAAGATTTTCTATTTGTTTGGTACATAGTCTGAGTAAACTTTTGTGTGTGTGCCAGTCAGGGAAATTAAGTGAACAATAAAGACACTGAAATAAAGTATTAGGCAATATGTATCTTTGTTTAAAAAAAAAAAAAACACTGAATTTTTTTTCCACCCATGAACACATGAAAAGTGCAGAAACCAGAGTTAATCTATGTGATGTATTTGCATACTTTTACAAACAAGACAAATTAAAACAGAAACATATTCAGAATTTAACCTGATTAAATATTTAGTTTCAGTCCTGAGCTTTTGATATTTAATACAATATAAAGTAATACCAAAAAAGATTTTAAATTTATTTGATTTGCATGCTACAGAGATTCAGCTAAACTTTGTTCATTTGGCTAGTAATATTCTTTTTGTACCTGTAACACTTAGATTCTGATATACAAAATTGTAATAACATACTGATAATTCAAACTTGAGAACTAAATATTACATTCTTTTTACCCTGTGAAGAATAAATTCTACCTTTAAAAAATAGTATTTATAATATTAAAATTCATGTTGTCCAGATGGTTTTGTGATCAAGTTATTAAAATGTTTTGTCACTGTGAATCATTTGGGTTAGTACAAATACAACAGGATTGTTAAAAGCTGCCTATAAATACATAACACTATTGCTGATTTTTAAAGTGTGAAAAAGGATTATATTAAAATAAGTTTGCCTCTCATGTTAGAAATGAGCAAATGCTGTAAAATAAAACCAAAGCATCTTGCATACAACTGCTAACTACCGGCCTGAGACAGGTTTTATTCTTTTATGCTTGTCTGAAACTCTTGCGTAGTACAAAAAGTTAACAGCTAATCTGATGGAATTTATAAAGCTGTAAATATTCCAATATAGCCTCTTCTATGTCAAACATTTAAGATGGCCAGAACCAAACTATATATTAAACAGAACATAAATAAGACCGTAAATAAATAAATGAAGAAAATAAAATCGTACGGTACAACCACACATAATCCTATAAACATTTTCATGGTCAAACTGAGAAGCTGAAGACAGCTGACCTTCATTTAACTCTACATTAAATAAACTTCTGTTTTTCACATTTGACCTTGACAAGGAGGAGCAGAGCTCTTTTTCCAGTTCTCCTAGGTCACCTAACAGGATGAACTGGGCCGCCTGCAAGGACTGTGCTCAGTCAATTCACGAGGCTGGTTTTTGTTCAAAGTAGTGTCACGTCCAGTTATCACTTCAGAGACTTTTGTACATAAATGGTGGGGACATTTAGGAAAAGTCATTACAGTTCTAGGCTCAGAAATGGCTTAATTTGAATTCTGATTCTGAAAAATGAACTTTCCAAAACATGTGTAATTGCTTTCAAATATAAATTCTTACCAATGAGGACTCTAGCTTAGGAATAGAACGCGTGTTTCTTTTTTTATGGGACCCATTCCTTTAAGATGATAAATTGATTTCACTTGCTACCTAAGGTGGCTCACCAAACACTGCCCCTTCCAGTATTACAGACTGGGTAGCAAGTATGGCTTAACTTGCACAAAAACTGTTTATTTTAAAAGCCTTGTATGCAGGCAGGGCTATCCTGGGGATTTGTTTCTTTTAAGAAGTGCTTGAGTTGGGCAAGCTAAAATTCCCCACCAGAGGGAACTTTAGTTGGTTCCCATCTTGTTTGTCTGGAATATATATATATTTTTAAGCAAGTGACTCAGACTTTACTTCAATTTAATCATCTCCCCAGGCACTCTCTTCTCTTTGCGTCCTAACTGCTTACCACAAGCTATAGACAGGATTCCCTAAAAATGACAGCTGCAAAGTAACTTCTAGTAAAAGTTGGAAGAAATTGGTTTACTGAAGTATTTGGCAACCCTGATTCAATCAAGACACCCCTTCCTTTGCGCCCGGTTGCACCACATGCAGCTGATGCATCTCCGCCTGCATCGCTGGCATTGCCGGTCCTCAGAGCCCCGGGCCCCCACCTTCATCCACCGGGTACCACCCTCACGCCGAGCACCCAACCCGCTTGGTGCACGCCGGAAACTCGGGTGTGAACACTTACACTCATGCCGACTGAGAAGCAGCGGCTGCTTGCTGACGTGCTGATGCTGTTGTGTTGGAGGCGAACTGGCCTTCTTCCCCTTTCGTCTCCCTGCCTTTAAAGTTACACGTCACGAGAAGTGAAGTGTCACCAGGAGAATGGTTCCTTTGCATCCTTACCTTCTCATACTCAGGTTTTGTTTTCATTTTCTTTAGATACACAGAAAAGGACAAAAAGGAAGCTGTTCCCAGGACATGGTGTTCCGACAGAGGTGATGGAGATGAATGTGCCCTCTGTCCCACGTGGACCTGAGACCCTGCACTGAGGCTCCTACTCCCGTGGAAGGAGCCGCCTTCTGGCACCAGGGTCCCTGCTGCCAGCCTCACGGTTGCTCATAGGAGGACAAAGGAAAAGTGAAAACTGCCTTCTGCTAAACCAAGTTATTTCTCAACAGTCGGTCCAACGGGATACACGTGGGGTCCTGCCTCTATTCCATTTCTACAAAATAAAGCCCACTGGCGATACTGTACATTTGGGTACCGGGTGATCCCGTTTGGTTATCTGATTTTTTTTTCTCTTTTTTTAAACAAATTAGAATTATATTCAAGGTACTTTACAAATTAACATGTTTGAAAATCTGACGTGAAATAAAAGCTCTTTAAGAGTTGACGGTTATATTACAAAACAAAATCCCGAACAAGACGCATGTTCAGTCTTTTGCCCTCCCTAAGAAATGAAGAGGTGAAAAACACGAGCTTGTCGGCGATGTGGTCACACGTCATCAGCGGGCAGGGACGGGATGGTTATCTTCGCTCTGGTGAAGTAGGCAATCTTCTCCCTGGAACCAGGGGTGAGAAACACACCAGCTTAAAAAGATGCTGAAAGTGCTCCGTGCCTGATAGAAACAGTCCCAAGAACGCCAGTGTCTCCACAGGCCTGGATGGGAGCTTTGGTCCTTAGCTAGAACTCCATTTAAAATGAAGATTGCCTTCCCCTTTTTCTGAAGGACCCAACGGACACTGGCAACTCTGTGGACAGAGGCAGTGAGGTCCCTTCTAGCGTTTCCAACCTTGGTTTTTAAATCATCAGGGGGGCAGGGTGTCAGTCTAGGCCTGCGTGTTTCTCAACCAGGTGGCAGAGAATTCCAGAGGCTAGAATCCTTACAGAAAAGTAGATGCTCCTGGGAAAATTCTTCAAACTCAATACCATGTTAAGGTTGGGGCAACTTAATGAGCTTTGGGTTCCAGGATGAGATGGGAGAAGAGACGGAGCCTGACCATCATAAAGGCAGATCCACCCAAATCCCGACTTGGGTGGGGGCGAGTATGGTGCAAACAACTTCAGAGGCACAAAACGAGAAACAAGGGGGTGGGATGGTCTTCAGAGATCAGCAGAGTGTTAAAGAAATAAGCTTTTAGGGTTGCAGCACCACCCAAGGCAGGAGTAATATGTCTATCCTCTACAAAGTCTTCATGTGGAACACAGTCTGCTGACGGGGTCCCCATGCGGGGCGCCGTAAGGAGGGATAAAGATTAGATGGTTGAGGACAAGGGTGAAGATGCAAGGACTGAGGGGAGAAGCTCCAAGACTAAGGAGAGAGAGAGAGAAGGAGGGAAGCATGAAAACCCCCGGGGAAACTGGAAGGAGAGCTATTTTTGTGGCACAGAGTCCCATCCATTTGTTCAATTCCCTGAGATAAAATGAAGAGTTGAAGAGGCAGGTGAAAGTGGTCATGAAGTCACTGAAGACAGAACTGAATTCTGGGACCTCTGCTTTGATACTCCCTGAAAAACAAATGTCTTTGGCTTACACAGTGCTTTTTAAACACCCGAATTAGTTGTCAGGGTCTCCACTTGAGATAGGTCACATCAAATTCCTGATTTCTACCTTCAATTCCAGGTGAGACAGCAGCTCAGGGAGCGTCCCCAGGGCCATGGAGGGACCCGGGCCTGGAGGCCTCCAGGGCAGATGCCTTATCCCGGCCCACCTCCCCCGTCTGTATCACCTGCCTGGTGATGTGCGTGGGTCTGGATGCTAAGGAACTCGGGACTGTTTACAACTTTTTTTGGGTTTAGTAATAGCTGTGGTTGGATGACTTCCCCACTGGGCTGTGTTTCTTACTCTCAAAGTGACCACAGCACCAAAGGCATGAGAAGGTTCCTCTCGCCACCCTGCACTTCCACAACCCCCACCGCAAGCAGCATCCTCTGCAAGTTCCAAGAGTGATTCTGAGCTGAATGGAGACAGGAAAACGCTGACTCTTCAGGCCAGCATACTAAAAAGAGTCTGAGCCCACAATGCCCCCGTCCCCTCTCTCCACCCCTGGACTCCCTCAGGCGACCCTGACCTCCCACTTCACCCTCTGGCACCAAACCGCATCCCTCCCCCGCCAGCCCCTCCACGTCATACCCTGCCTCTGCCATCAAACACGCTCCTCGGGTTTCTCCCCTTCCACCAGGAGCTTCCTACAGTCTCCTCTACACCACACACATGCGCACACAGCCCCCCACACATGCACACACACCCCCCACAACAAATAAAGCCACACCTCTTCTGTGCACGCCCCCACCCCTCAAAAGTGTCCTTGGTCACGGGGCCTCCTGTTCAGGAAATGTCCATCCTCTTCTTGCTGTTGTGTTTGACATCCTTCACCGTGCCCCCAGACCAGGACCATGCCCCCCTCCCTTCTAGCTCTCTGCCAGTCCTTCCGACACCCCAACCATCTCCTCTCCTGGTCACCTTCTCACCTGTCCCGGGATGTCGGACCCACATCCAGTTGGGGAACCCCTATACGTGGGATGCAGGCTTGCATTTTTATCTCCCACCTGACCCTTAATCCTGGCTCCAGATTTTTATCTCTGCCTGTCTACTGGCCGTGGTTCCCTGAGCTGCCCTACTGGAATGGTTAGACTGGTGCATCCAAGAGCAGAAGTCACATCACCCAGCTCCCGCAGGCCCCCCACCGTCCCTCCGTCCACTCCCCTGACTCCGTCCACTCCCCCTGCCCCTTCCCGGGTCCCAGGGCCCCCGGGCCCCCTGCGCTCACCTGAAGGACTGCACCTGTCGGGGCACCTTGCGGCTCTGCTCGCGGAGCCGGCACACATCCTTGGACACCTGCCGCATCAGCTTCTCCGCGTTCAGGTCCTGCTTCTGCTCCTCTTTGGACTGCTCGGCCTGGCGGGGAGACGGAAGCACAGGCCCCCCAGGATGTTACTCGGAGGCTCCCGAGGCGCGCTCTCAGGCCCAGAAGATGCCGGGGCTCCCTGACATCAGTAGGGGGCCAGGCAGTGCAGGCCTCAGGTGCTTTCTCCACGTTGGGGGGGAGGGGACCCCATGAGTCCACCTCACGCCCACCATGGGGATCAGCCACTGGGTCGGGGGAAGGGGGAGCTTTAACCCATTAAAAAAAAACATCTTTTGATACAGGCAATATGGGATCATTTTGTTACCTCTAGAATTCCTAGTAACCCTCTCTAAAAAAAAAAAAATTAGAAACTACTTATAGCACCATGTTTAAGAAGTATCTACCGTTAACATTTTGGTGAATACACTTGCAATCTCTTATTCACCTCTTCTTTCTGTCCCATGCCCTTTAAAAGCTGTTTATTGATATAAAACTGATATCCTGTGCCAGAAAAGTGCACACGGGGCGTGCGGCTCAGTGAGCTTTTACAAAGTGATGCCCTTCTCACCCACCAGACTGCAGACACCCTGAGGGGAGGGCAGGGGAAGCCCCGACCCCTAAGTTCCCACAGAGCCTCCAGCTGCCAAGAGGACGAGCTGCGAGCTGGGCTGTGGCCCTCAGCAGGAGGAGCGTGTGTGTAGGGAGGGGTCACTTGAGCCGGGGGGCTGGGGACACAAGCCCGCTTGGGCACCCACGGCCTCCCAAGTGGGTGCTCCAGCAGCGGGATTTAAGTGTGGCCCTGCCTCGTGGAGACCACTGGTCATGGTGGGGGCAGCGAGGGTAGTGAAGGAAATGCGTGACAAGATTCAGAGTCTTACAGGAGAGATCCGCTCAGGCCAGAGCTGGGCAGTTGGCACTAGGAGACAGGCGGGAAAGCGGCTTTGTTGATGGAGCTGCCTGCAGTGAGCTGATGGGCCCTCCCGTCAGTGGAAGGCATTGGGCTCTGTTTATTAACAGAGGGGCTCCTGTTTATTAACGCAGGCAGCTATATACATTAGAGTCAAAGAATGAGGTCTTTAGGCTTAAGAGACAGGACAAGGTCTCTGGTTTACAGCCAAGCTGATACAAACAGCAATCGTAGGACTAGGACTTTGTCCTTTGGAAATGCTACTGAAATGAGAAAGGTGCCCCAAACTGTACAGGAGTGTTCACGTCCACAGGGTCTTAAAATTAAAATCTGGGAAGCCAGTGTTATGCCCCAGGTTTCAGGAGAGGGTGGGCTTCCCTCATATCTCAGCTGGTGAAGAATACGCCTGCAATACAGGAGACCCCGGTTTGATTCCTGGGTCACGAAGATCCCCTGGAGAAGGGAAAGGCTACCCACTCTAGTATTCTGGCCTGGAGAATTCCTGGACTGGTCGCAAAGAGTCAGACACGACTGAGCGACTTGCACTTTCAGGAGAGTGCGATTAACCTTCAGTGTACTGGGTAGGAGCCTGCCCCACGGGCAGGTCCGGTGCTTTAGTCCGGGTCACGTTAAGGAGCCGGGCGGAGCGGGAACGTGATCCGTGCTGATTCAGTCCCGGTTCCTCGCTCTGCCTCCTATGACGACACTGACTCTGAATCCTTTTTTATTCTGAGCTGCAAAACAGACTTCCCACCACAAAGGAGGAAGGTAACGCGTGTGACCCGACGAGGAAGGCCGACCTGGGCCCCGCCGCCGGCTTCCCCGGGAGCCGTATCTTTAATGACAACTGGCAGGCTCTTCGCTCACCGCTAGGCACTTCACGGCCACAGTGCCGAAAACGCCACACATCCCCAACTGCAGGGGACAGGTGGACGTGAAGGGGCAGGAGTGTGTGTGCATGTGCGAGTGTGCACCGCGGTGTCCCCGTGTGTGTAAAGAGTGGACGCGGGGCTGCAAGCAGGAGAGCAAGCAGGGAAGAAGCCAGTGGTTCTCACCGACCCCCGTGGTCAGAATGCAAGGCGCACAGTGGAGTCTCCAGCCGGGGACAGCAAACTTCAGAGACGGGAAAGAAAAGCTCATGACCCAATGAGCTGCCTGAACACAGAGCTGCTAAACGCAGAGACGAAAAGGCACCTGTGCTCAGGGGGGTCAGACCCTTCTCCAAAGGGCACGGATGCGCCCTGTGCTGTGGCTCTTTCCTCTCTACGGCCTGATGCCACGGCTGCCATCCGGCAGGAGGAAGCATGACGGGAGCAGACGTGCTGGGGGTGAGGACCTGAGCGGGGCGGGGGCGCAGGCTGGCGCCTTCCGCCGGGAGACGCTCTGGGGCGCCGCGTACCTGCTTCCCCGCCTGTCTCAGGAGCTTCTGGAAGCGTTCGTCGTCCAGCACGCCCGGCGGCAGGTCCGTCTCGCCCTGGGCCTTCAGTTCCTCGAGCCTCTGCCTCAGGCCCCTAAGGGCCTGCAGCTCGTCGTTGAGGCGGCTCTGCCGGGTCAGGGAGGCCTGCAGGTCCAACTCCAGGTCCAGGGAGGTCCGCACGGGGCACTCGGGCGCCGCCCTCCGGAGGAGCGGCTGGCACACCGCCTGCGGGGTTAGAGCGCGACACGAGAGCCCCGCTGCAGCCGCGGTCCCCGGACGGGAGGGCGCCCGGGCTCCTGCGTTGGCCGCTGAGGGCCAAGGGGTGGTGGCCTGGTCCCCAGGGAGACAGGAACGAGGCACCGCCCACCTCGGAACACGCGCGGCCAAGGCGAACGAGCCTGTACTGCCCTGAACCGCAGAGCGTCTCTGGAGTTGTTACCAGGGTGCAGCCTTCCTCAGCCTGACCAGTTTACGCCCAGAGCTGCCCTCTGCGGACCGCAGACGTACCGCGAGGAAGTGACTCTGAGTCAGGCCCGCACCTGTGTCCCCGCAGTGCACGCCTTCGCCCATCACTTCTGTACCCGCAGCTCAGCGGAGCTTGGGTCCGGTCGCCCTCTTCTAACCAACGTCCTTTGACTCCAGTTCCTTCCTCACTTCCCATCGTCTGACACCCACTCTCGCCCGAGTCACTGTGTTCCTTCTGGGGCCAAGCTTATCCACTTATCAACAAATAATCACTGGCTGTGTATGAGTAAGTATCCACTGGGGGTCTGTAGGCAAAACACTAGGAGGAGAAGATGTGATTTCTGACCTCGAAGAATTGGTTTAGAGGATGATGTTGAGAGAGTCAATTTCTAGGCAGGTTGATAAGAAGTCTGGGGTCCCTGAGGAGGAGAAAGGGGTCTCGGGCTCTCAGAGTGGAGAGAGGGGCCTGGAACTCTCAAGGAGGAGGAAAGACAAACATCCCCCCCACCCCACCACATTCCTTAGTCTTAGTCACATCAAATGTTTTTCCTTTAAGCCCGAAACTGATGATTACACAACAAACAACTCAGTTTAAACTCTATGAATGAAATTAAGTCGCTCAGTTGTGTCCGACTCTTTGCGACCCCATGGACTGCAGCCTACCAGGCTTCTCTGTCCATGGGATTTTCCAGGCAAGAATACTGGAGTGGGTTGCCATTTCCGTCTCCAGGAGATCTTCCCAACCCAGGGATTGAAACTGGGTCTCCCACATTGTAGGCAGATGCTTTACCATCTGAGCCACCAGGGAAGTAGGATTATTTAACAATATATCCTGCCTGAAGACAGTTTCTCCTTCCTGAAAACCTTCTGGTTAATACTGTTATCTTAAAATGTAAATTATGGGAGTGGGTCTAGTAAGATCTTTATAACCTTGAGACATTTTTTGATTTACTGTAATAAATAATTTAAAAAGTACGTAACTCCCTAACATTAGGGAGAGGGGCACTCTCCATCTCCCTTCTGATGTCTATGTCAGAAGCTTTCTCTGTCTTTTTTTATACTTTAATAAAACTCTGCAATATATAAGCTCTTGAGTGATCAAGCCTGGTCCCTGGTCCCAGAGTTAAATCTTCTTTGGAGATCACGAATCCGACATCATTCTGCTATCATCTTGGGGGCTCGTCCAGGATCTTCAGGACAAGGGAAGAACACACTCAGAGCTCTAGCCTCTCTGCTTTCTCAGTATACACATTTTCCACTTTATCAACTCTCCGGCGTGCTTGTGTGAATGAATGACATGCCCTGCGTGAAGCAAGTGATGAGCCCTGCTCTGCGGTTTCGTGGTGCCTCTTAATGACTGAAGGCAGGCCCTAAAAGGGGAGCCTTATTGGGGGTTTATACTGACCTGCCAATGCCAAGAGACACCCGAGGTCCCTGCTAGGGGAGCGGCCAGAGATAGGCAAAACGTGTGGACTGAACTTTCCTTCCTCAGTCACCTTTTCCTGGTCTCTCTGACCATTTCATAATTGCGTGGGGAATTAGAACTACTAACATAATCTGTTGGATCACAGACTTTCAATGGATTGTGATTCATGCCATTACTATGTACTTTTACTTAGACCCCAAGCTTGGTAGTCATGGCAGCGCCTAGCCTTGCTAGGAGCAGAAGGTTACAGGAGCACGTTTGGGAGTGAGGCAGAGCTCCAGCTCCAGGAACGTCTCTCAGGCTCAAGGTCGCTCTCCTGGCTGCCGGCCTCAGGGGCCAGCGACCTGACAGTGAGTTTTGCCATGGCTGTGTCTCCTATCTATGTGGACAGAAGCACCGCTGCTGACCGTGAGGTTTCTGAGGCCACAGATCGGGAATCGCAGGATCTGGGCAGATGGAAGTGCAGCGGGCTCTTCCTTTGGCAGCGCCAGCTCTCCGGGGACCAGAGGAGGCTCTCTGGTAGCTTCGGTCTCAACTCCCTGGATTCTCCTTTTATGGGATCTGTGGGAGTGAACTGGAAGGACTGGCCCTAATAGCACGAGGACGAAAGGCACCCTTTCCTCGCTGGCCAGCCCTCCACCACCTCTTCTGCTGTCACATATCCTGGCGTGGTGACACTCAGAAGGGACGTCTTGGTTGTCGTTCGTCCCTTCATGACCCTCGGCTTCTACTGCGGTCAGGACTGTACTCAGGAGTGCGCGGGCACATAAAGACAGATGCTCCCCCAGGAGTCCTAGCTTGGCAAACGTTCTGGGAAAACTACTCTGCTCCACCCGGGGTGGCCTCAGAGAAGAGGGCAAATCAAACCAAGGTCTTGGTGGTATGGAACTAAGTCAGTCTGGGATGCCATCAGGTCTGCCCCTGGTGCGTCTCCACCCCGCCTCGGTGGTAGAACCGGGAGGGACGAGTGAGACGCCTGTGTCGGTAAGGGACAGACTAAGTCGAACCGGGGAAGGAAAGCTTTGGTGGAGAGTCTGTCTACACGCCTATCTACAGCAGGGAAGGACGCTTCTGGTTAAAAAAAAAGCCACAGCCGTGGATGCTGCTTTTTCTCACAGATGGGAGCTAGCAGTTCCAGAATCACTCCTTTAAAATGTATTTTTTTAAAAAAATAAGCTGGGACAAGTTTTATCCCCAGAGTTTGTTTATTTATTTACTTTTTTGATTCCCAGAGTTTAAAAAAACATGGCTGATCTTCTTCTGTGACACTGAATGGCCATGGTATCCTTTGAAAGATGGGGAACGCTGGCCTGTTGAAGGGTTTCTTAATTACGTACTGTTTCACAACTAGACCGGTTCCGTAGAAAACAAGGGAAATGGGCAGAAGTGCTATACGTGTTGATCTTTATCTCTCTGCAAGACGTGCCAGACTTGTGTCCTAAGGGCACAGATTTGGCTGTGAAACTTTCAGCTCCCTCCTGTCCTCTTACTTTGCTCCTGTATCTGGGGGTCCCAACTGAACAGGCCGAGAGTCAGGGCACCCTCCAGGAGGGCTTGCTTCAGTCTCGATAGAAGTTCAAACAGTACCAATCGTGGTCGAGACTATTGAAAGGATCCAAAAGGTACACAGAAGCCTTTATGGGACTAACTTTACTTTATGAGCTTACTTGAAGAGACATAATCTATGTCTTCGGACAGATACTGACTCCAGACTTGAGAGCTTGAGTTTTGGGGGAAGCTTTTGGAGACCCCTGGCCTTCCTGCCTGTTACCCTCTCAATATGGGACAGTGAATAATAGAAAACCATAGAAATAGGGCTTCCTTGATAGATCAGTTGGTAAAGAATCCGCCTGCAATGCAGGAGAGCCTGGTTTGATTCTTGGGTTGGGAAGATCTGCTGGAGAAGGGATAGACTACCCACTTCAGTATTCTTGGGCTCCCCTTGTGGCTCAGCTGGTGAAGAATCCACCTGCAATGGGGGAGACCTGGGTTGATCCCTGGGTTGGGAAGATCCCCTGGAGAAGGGAACAGCTACCCACTCCAGTGTTCTGGCCTGGAGAATTCCATGGACTATACAGTCCATGGGGTCGCAAAAAGTTGAACACGAGTGACTTTCACGAGACAGTAAGCAACAGAAAACTGTGAGACAGTATCACCGGAAGGAAGGCAAGGCAGGGAGGGATACTCGGGGCTGGGTCACACCTGCACGAGGAAAGGTGTTCAGACAGGGTGGGCAGGACTGCTGGCGTGGAGGGAGATGAGATGGACGTTTCCTGCCTAGACTGTTGGCAGTGGGGATGGAAAAAAAGGGATTATTACTCATGAAAATGGGTACTACCTGATACAAGAGAGAAGGACTCAGGGTTGACAGGTATCCCAGCTGGGAGGGCTGGCATGACAACAGTGCTCATGACAGACGGGAGGGAGAGGTCTGTCCGTCCCTCTTCTCGTTTCAGGGCCATCGCCCAGACCTGAATAGCGCTCATTGTCTCCTCCGATTCCTGTTCTCCGCCCAGTGGATCCTGCTGGAACGTTCTCTGCTGTTCTTACTACTGTTGCTGCTCAGCTGCTCAGCGGTGTCTGACTCTGTGACCCCATGGACGGCAGCACACCAGGCTTCCCTGTCCTTCTCTACCTCTCAGAGTTTGCTCAGATTCATGTCCATTGAGTTGGTGATGCCATCCAACCATCTCATCCTCTGTCATCCCGTTCTCCTCCTGCCTTTTACCTTTCCCAGCATCAGGGTCTTTTCTAATGAGTCTGCTCATTGAATCAGGTGGCCAGAGTACTGGAGCTTCAGCATCTTATCAGCTTTCCCTTTATTCAACCTCCACTCTAACAAACAGCAGAATCATCTAGACACACACCCTCTGTGACTGCATGATTCACTGTTTCAAGATCAGAAACCCTTTCCAGCTGTTGGGCACATGCTTTCTAAGAATCCCGTGTGCACAGCCTGCTGGTGAGTGTGTAACCGAGGGTGTGCCTGTGTGTAAGCTCTGCCCATCTCCCTGGTGTCCATGACCCTGCCGCGCTGGCTCTCAGGCTGTCAGCGTGGCGCTGCTGAGTGGGGCAGGGGTGTGCTGACGGGCCCCCCAACTTTGTGCCTCACGTGGGGCCCCCGCCCTCCCAGCCAGGACGCCCGCCCCGCTCCCTCCGGCTCCCTTCACGCCTCGGGCTGTAACTCCTACATCAGAACACTCTTCCTCATTCGCCTCTACCAGACTCCACCTGCTCACTTTAAAGCCGTTAACAAGGAACTCCTGAATGCTGTTTCAGGATTAACCTTTGTCCGGTCCAAGAAGTTCTAGGAACTAAGGTTTATCAGTAACCCCACTGTTTTTCAGCTTCACTCAATTCATAAGACACTTCTGGTTAAAAGTTTTCTGAAGACTGTTATCATTCTCTAAAAGTATGTGTTTTTAAAAGTGCCGGGGCCTTGCAATCCCACTCCTGGGCATATATCTGGAGAAAAACATGATCTGAAAGGATACGCACCCTAATGTTCATTGCAGCACTGATTACAGTAGCTGAGACATTAGCAACCTAAATGTCTGTGGGCAGAGGAATGGCTGAAGAAGATGTGGCACATTTATTACAGTGGAATATTACTCAGCCATTAAAAAGAATGAAACATGCCATTTGAAGCAACATGGATGGACCTAGACATTGTGATACTGCGTGAAGTAAGTCAGGCAGTGAAGAAAATAGACCGTTATGACGTCCCTTGTATGTGGATTCTAAAAAGAAATGATACAAATGAGCTTACAGAACAGAAGGACTCACAGACTTAGAGAATGAACTCATGGTTGCCTGATATTTGAAATGGAAAACCAACGAGGACCTCCTGTTTAGCAAAGAGGCCTCTGCCCAGTGTTATGTGGCAGTCTGGATGGGAGGGGAGTCTGGAGGAGAATGGATGCATGTATATACATGAGTCCCTCCATAGTTCACCTCAAACTACCACAACATTGTTAACTGGCTATACCCCAATACAAAATAAAAAAGCTTTTTAAAAAAAGTGCAGGGGACTTAGGAAGGACTGGAAAAGAATTTTCATTCAAGTTGATGGAAATTGAGGTGCTTTTAAAGCATAAAATTAGGTAACCTGAAACAGCTACACTTGACAATGTCCTGAAAATGCTGAGGTTAAATAAATGCTTGCATATTTACCTTTGGAAAAAAAGAAATGTGCTTATGTCCGTCAAGTAACTAGGAAGCTAAATAAATCAGGAAGCTCAATGCTGCCCAGTCACACATCCAGCACTTTGCCCAGAGGCATTAAACGGGTCGCTGGTGAAGACAAATGATTCACCATGCCCTCCAGTCTTCACTCTGGCCCACTGGGCCCAAGCTCTGGCCAAGCAGGGTCACTCCTTCTCTGAATGAGTTCCCAGGCCCTGTGCCATGTTGGGCCACCTTCTGACAGCGCCCAGCATCCCACCCCGTTCCCCCAACAAAGCCACCACCTTCTTTTGAGATTGTTGTATGAGGGCCAGAGACCTTCCTCATGAAGGCTTTCTGGTTCTCCTGACAAGGTGAGCCCACTGCCCTCTTCTCTCTGCCCCTGGGGTCGCCCGACCACCCTGGGAGGGTCTCCTGCAGGCGGGAAGCCCTGCCCGTCACTGCAGAGCTTAGCTCACACAGGGCCGCGTTCCCACTGAGCAAGACTAAGCCGATACAAGGCAGCTTCAGAAATTAGCACAAAAGATTAGCTACCGAAAATGTTCCATTAGCATCTCAGCTGCTGGTAAGTGAACAGGAATTTCTGAACACTCCAACCATGTTAATTTATTTAAATATTCGCCCAGAGCTGCCCTTGTACTCTTATCCACAGATCTCTGGCTTCCAGGAAAACCTGACTTGAGCTTTTCCATCTACCTTGATCTTAGCCTTCTGAGAAGATCTGTTTTCTAAGCAAGCTGCTGAAACCATCTGCTCCTTAACCCGGACGTCTGCCTCTCACACAAGGTACCAGGTGTTATACTCTCCCCACAGCTGCTCCAGAGCCGGTGACTGGCAGCCGAGATGCCCCCAACCCCCAGTAGCCTTTTCTCCGTCCACGCTTCAAACTGAATCTATCCTTCGCGATCACAGGTTCCACCCTAGCAATGAATGGGCGGTCTCTAGCACATCCTTCTCCGGAACAGACACGATGTTTGTGTCTCCATGATTACAGTGGCTTCAACCCACAGCCCAGGAGCACGGAGCAAGGACGCCCCGAGGCCCTGGGGTTCTGCATCTGACACGCCCAACTCGGGGTGGTCCGGGACCTCGGGATGCTGCCGATGGACTACATACCCTCTTGACTCTCAAACTTCGCCGTTCGGTGGAGTTCCTCACAAACAGCGATTTTTTAGCCAGTGTTGAACTGTCACTGTCACTTCGATTTAACTGGCAACAAAAAAAAAAAGAAAGAAATCAGTGCATCACCCTGTGCTAGAAGAAGTCTGGAATTGAAAACTTGATCATGAGAGAAGGTAGTTACTAGTTTGTCTTTTTTTTCTCTTTTAACAAGAGGGTCATGCCCTTGCAACTCCAGGTCTGTTCTGAGGATCAATGACATCACCTGTGTGTGCTAAGTCGCTTCAGTTGTTGTGTTCGACTCTTTGCGACCCCATGGACTGTAGCCCGCCAGGCTCCTCTGTCCGTAGGATTCTCCAGGCAAGAATACTGGAATGGGTTGCTATTTCCTTCTCCACAGTTTATTTCTTTAAGAAAATCCTCTTCAAATGAGTTTTTCCCTATTTGATGCTTTTCTTAGATAACATAATTTTCTTAATCGCCTTTTGATTTTACTTACAAAAAGTTATGTGTTAAGATAATTACATACATTTTGAAATAAAATTATCCTTTGAATCTTTAGCTAATATGCATTATCCATTCTTTAAAAGGAAAGTTTGTATGAAGCACAGATCGCAGGATCAGAGTGAAGTCACAGTGGGTACAATAAAGGGCACCCTCACACGGGGGGCCATCCCCACTGCCTCACTTGCTTCAGGTCTTTGCCGAAACATCTCCTTCCAGGGACATCTGTTCTCAACCCTACTTCACTTGGCGACCCTCATCCTCAACATCCCAACCCTTCTTAACTTGCTCTACGGTTTTCCATAGCGCTGGGCCTCACCCAGAGATGTCACAGGTTATTCATCATGTTTATTGTTTGGCTCAACTCACAAGAACGGAAGCCTTGCAAAGGCAGAGCTCTGGGTCTTTGGTCCATGGATGAATCACAAGTATCTGAAAGTATGCTTAATAAATAGTAGGTGCTTAATAAAAATGCTTGTTGAACTGAATGAATAAATTTAGAATTTTGAAAGTATTTTCTAACCTACTTTGTAATGTCAAATCTAAATTACTATAAATCAAATACTTATGGAACTAGAATGTGATAAACTGATATATATCACACAATACTCTCCACAGAACTATGACTCTGTTTGGAGGCATCAATGAAGGCGATTTTTGTTCTGAAACGCAATTCACTATTTTTAATTGGGCGGGAACGTGGTTTGAAGCAGGCATGATACACTGCTGAAATACACCGGCCACCATAACTCTCGAGTCACTGAAGGTTTTGAATACACACTGGGGTCCAGACAGACAGCGGCCAGACCCTTAACGTCAGTTATTTGCCAGATCAAAGGCATTAGAAGCGAAGAGATAGTAAATGTGGGAAAAGGAAGGAAAGGAAAAAATCCCACAATCCAAACTAAAAAGAGTGACTGGGTGTGTGATACTTTATGTATATTTCCTGGCATTTCTAGTCATTAGTATTTGCAGTCGAGTTTGAAGATGCCCATGGTTCAGTCTAGTGTCACTGATAGGCCAGCCCTGGGGGCAGGGGGTGGATGTGGCAGCTCCCCAGAAACTATGTGAGCTGTCACCCCGCAGACCCCTGACCTCGAAGACCCCTTACCCTGCAGACCCCTGACCCCTAGGCTCCTGACCCCGCAGAGCCTTACCCTGCACACGTACTGGCTCCGCTCCCCGGGGGAGAAGGTCTGCGAGCGCACGATCACGCTGCTCCTCACGAAGGTGTGCTGGCGTGCGCTCAGGCTGCTGCGGTCTTTGGGGCGCACGGCCAAGCTGGCACCGCCAGCCTCGTCGGTGTTTGTCTCTTTATCAACCTGAAAGAGAGGTTGGCGACCTGTCAGGGGTGGCGAGACAGGAGCACGAGGTGCTCCTCTCCCGAGTGTGGAAGGAACATCTGATCTTACAAGAGACACATGGAGCACCAGGGCCTTTCTCCAGACACGAAGGCGGTTTTCTATTAGCTTTTAGGAAGTCACCCTCAGTGCACAGGATCGTATTTCTCCAACAATGTCACCCATAAATGGAATGGCGGGGCCTCCCTCTAACAGGTTAGCCCTAAAATAATGAAGCTTTAGTTTACAGAGGGGTAAATGTGCTTCAACAAAGAGTCCGATTTGAGAATGCTTCATCATTAAACATTATTCAACCTTATGGTTAGTTTTTTTGCTGAATAAATGATGAAAGCAGTTAAACATAAAAGATGGAAATACACTAGTTAAACCTCTGGTTTGCATAGAATACACAATTATATATACAGCCACCATGGGTCTCCGTGGGGGTGGGGTTCCAGGACACTGAGCTCCGTGGACGCTCAGGTCCCACAGCTGGCCTCCCCATCTGGGGTTCCCCATCATCACGGTCAGCCACTCGTGGACCACAGTTACTATCTGTGGGTCTCTGAGTCAGATCCATGGTTGGTTGAATCCGCGTATGCAGAAACCATGGACACAGAGGGTCGAATGTACAAATACACATGAAGTTTTCCGTCAGGCCGTAGCACTGTTTTTAATCAGAAATAAATTGGAATTTTTAAAACTCCCACATTTGTTGGCATCCTCAAACCTTGAAAATGGTTTCCTCCCTTTGGAGATGGTAGTCTGGTAGCCTCAACATGTCTGTCTGTTCCATCACTAAGTTGTGTTTGACTCCTGGTGACCCCATGGACTGCAGTCCGCCAGGCTTCTTTGTCCATGGGAGGACCCAGGATCGAACCCTCGTCTCCTGCGTTGCAGGCGGATTCTTTACCACTGCGCCAGCACCGTGGAGGCCCCCACATCTCTCACTGACCAGCAAAACCACCTGGCTAACCGGCCTGGCACCCGCACCTCAACCAGGGCACCTGCCCCTTCCGGGACTGGTTTCGGTCAGAACCCCATCTAACCAAAACGGGCTTCACACACTCACCTCACGTTTGAGACTGAAACAGACTTATAACATCTAGGAAACGTAAAACAATTAAGCAGGCATCCCGGAGTCTTCCAGGAAATCCTGCAAACGCTTTCAGTAAATATTCACAGAACACTCACAGAGAGCTAAACAGCACTGTTTATCTTCTTTTATGAAATTTAAGCGGAGGATGAGTATTTGGGGCCCACTTGAAAATGTTACGGCATTTATAAGGCTTTTTATGGTCTGTTCCTACAATCACTCATCTTGATCAGCTTTGGCACAAAAATCCTAACGTGAATTATGCACAAAGAGACAAGCTCGGACTCCGTGGTGCCTCTAGGAGACCGCTTTAGCAGGGGACAGCCGACAAGGCTCACCAGGGCCGGTGTCCCTGCGGGGGGCTGACTCCCAAGGTCATTGGCACAGCTGCTTTCTTTCCTACTTGTGTCCTCGTCCATCTCGGGCACACGTGGGCGTGGGCTTACATCTTCCGCACAGCGACTGCCCTCCGCCAATTTCACTTTGGCCCCTTCCTTGGCCACAACTTCATCTGAGGCCTCTCTCAGCATGGCCAACCTATGGGTGAAACAGAACACAACACCGTTCAGGGTCAAGCAGGTGAGCTCTGTGATCAGCCACGAACAGACTCGCACATCATGATGCAAGCCAGTTCTCTGGCTGGAACTTTTACTAAAATGCTCATGAAAAATAAAGTCATCATTTTACATTCTAGCAATCTGCAGCAAAATCACCATAACTTCGTACCAAAAAGTGAAATTCATGAAACTTGATCTAATCCTTAAACAGAAATATACTAAAATATCACATACAAAGTTTAACCCACCATTTAAAAATATTGACACTCACTATAATATAACTGTTTTTCCAGTAGTCATGTATCGATGTGAGAGTTGCACTATAAAGAAAGCTGAATGCTGAAGAATTGATGCTTTTGAACTGTGGTGTTGGAGAAGACTCTTGAGAGTCCCTTGGACTGCAAGGAGATCCAACCAGTCCATCCTAAAGGAAATCAATCCTGGGTGTTCATTGGAAGGACTGAGGTTGAAGCTGAAACTCCAATACTTTGGCCACCTGATGCAAAGAGCTGACTCACTGGAAGAGACCCCAGTGCTGGGAAAGATTGAGGGCAGGAGGAGAAGGGGACGACAGAGGATGAGATGGTTGGATGGCATCACTGACTCGATGGACATAGGTTTGGGTGGACTCTGACAGTTGGTGATGGACAGGGAGGCCTGGTGTGCTGTGGTTCATGGGGTCGCAAGGAGTTGGACATGACTGAGCGACTGAACTGAACTGAACTGATACTATGACTTGGTGTCAGTTGTTCATTTATTACACAATATATCAAGCCACAGAATAGAGCAACTCTGCTAAGAGTGAATAAAAATATTCACTATCAACTGTGCTCATGGTGTAGCAAGGGTGGAATCCTGGATAGAAGAGTCTTACTACTGGGATAACAGAAGGCTCTGAATGGTCTGTGGTCTTGTCTTTAACAAAAGCCACTACCTGGGCTTGGGTGGCAGGACAAGTCAGGCCCCAGAAAACAAATAATGGTTCATATTCTGTATAAACTGATTTGACAGGAAAGCAAGAGTCTCCGGGTGGGGAAGAATATCCCATTCTTTGTTGAGTTTCATGTTCTTGGAATGGGAGCACTTTTTCTACCAATAACTAAAGGTCAAGCTTTAATTGTGATTAGTGACATACCGACAAACTGGAACAGACTGGTTGTTAAACACTTATGCGGGAACTAGCAATGAGAACTGTAAGTCATCAATCCCCTTAGGTTACATTCTAAGTGTGTTTTTAAAAATATTTACTTATTTGGCTGCGCCCGGTTTCAGCTGCGGCACGTGGGATTTTTGATCTTCGTTGTGGCGTGCAGGACCTTCAGCTGCAGCGTGTGGGATCTAGCTCTCTGACCAAGGGTCGAATCTAAGCTCCCTGCGTTGGGAGCATGGAGTCTCAGCCACTGGACCCCCAGGGAAGACCCTCTAAGTGTATTTTTTGAAATGTCTGTGAAACAAGTTGTACTTTATATATGCAAGGTATTTAAAGATATGATGAACCTCGTCATCACTCTCATACTTAACGTTTTTTTGCAGTGCTCTGATTTTTATTCACTATAGAGGACTTTTGATAAGAACAAGGTATCTCTGTACCTTTTTACGTCACTATAGTAAGCTGCTTCTTCCAAATGTCCACAATTTTGTTATTCATATCTTGTTACTCCAAGTTTGTAAAAAGTCTTGTATATACACACACATACCCACAAATGCTGCTATATATCTATGTATATGTCGACAGTAGTTCAAACATAACAGTGTAACAATACATAAAAGATTAGTCCAAATGATTTTACATATGTACTAAAAAACCTGACACCTTCACTAAAATATGTTTTTAGAGAAAACAATGCAAACCTGGAAACACAGTTCTTTATATGTGTATGAATCTAGACAAAGGCTATAATCTTTTTCTTCGTTAAAAAAAAAAAACTGAGGTATGAAAAATGAGGAGGGAGCAGTAAAAGAAGGTGAGACGTGGCAAGAAATAGAAAAGCAACCACTCAGAAGCTGCTTTTCTAAAAGACTATTTTGAACAACCAGAGCCTACATGGCACTTTCAGTAGTTTACAGAAAGAGTCTGCTTTTAAATTTATCTGTGACTCTGTAATAAACTGTCATCTCTTTCAAAATAATTTAGACTTTAAACAAACCAACAAGAAAAGCTCAGGAAGTGTGTCAAAATTACGGAGGTAAGAACAGAGAGTCTTGCTCACATGTTAGTAACTTTGCCCACAATCTCACCATTACTTTTTCAACTCTCTAACACCAAGGGGCGGCTTTTCCTGGGGCCACTCCCTGAAGCTGTGTCACTTTCCATTAATTCCAGAACAAGATCTAAACCCATGAAGGTGTCCCTCGAAGTGTCTTCTGAGAAACTAAACACACCCTCTTTGAGATCCCAGGAGCAGAATGAAATAACTCTTATTTACCAATCTCCATCTGGACCTCTGTGCTCTTCTTCCTGCCCTGGTTCTTCTTCTTGTGCTAACTCTTGTTCCACGGCCAACAGCTCAGCGGATGTTCTTGCAAGTAAGGCTGACACTGCATCCTGGAGAAGGTACAACATAGGGCAATTAACACCGTAAACTTCAGAAATGATTTAAAAACTTATCAGATGGGGACTTAGGCTTCTAGTTGTGGAGGAGAAGGAAGTATGAGACTCACTTCTCTCGCTTAGAACAAATATGAAAGCTGAATACAATAAAAGGAAAAGCAAAAAACTCCAGTTGTTTCAAAGCAACGAAGAGCAACAAAGGCAGCTAGGACTCAAGGGCGAAGATCCCAGGGAGGAGGGGAGTGTAAGGAAACGGAACACCACGCTTCTTCTTGGGGGTGTGTCTCGATGCCGTGGTGAGGCACAAGGTGATGGGCTGTGGCCGCCCGGGACTGTGGCAGTGATGGAAGGATGGGAAGAGAGTTGAGGACAAGGGAGTCCTCCTATGAAGGGCCAGGGAAAGTAAACTGTGAAGTGGGCCCGATATTCTGTACAATATTCCTATCGAGACCTTTGCCCCCGCCAAGCCAGAGTGAGAAGCTGAGAAAGTAACCAGCTGCTAGGAGGCTGAACGGCAAGCAGATATTTCAGGTGCTTCATGGCAACTCTCTTCCTAGGAAGAGAATAACTGGAATTCAGGTCCCTCAAGTGATCCAGATAAGCTGCCCATGTTGTCACCTGCCTTCCAGAAGGATACTGAATCATCTGTGGAGGAAGCTACCCGTCAGATCCGCTGCACTCCATACATAACACCCAGCACCCCACTGGAAACAGGACCCCACGACTGAAATCCAAGAATGACCAGCAAAAGAAACGGACCCGTAGGTGATCCATATACTACAGTTATTTAGAGAAGAAAGTAAAAGTTTTGTAATTAACGTGCTCAGGAAAACAGATGAAACAATGGAGAATTGAATGAGAATAAACAGAAATACACATGAGCACATCTGAGTGAAACTGCTGAAAACCAAAGAAAAAGAGGAAATTTTACAAGCAGTGGAAGAAAAAAGGTGTAATACCTTTTAAGGATCAACAATTAGCCTGTCCTCCAGCAGCTGAACAGAATCAATGAAAGCCAGATGACAACAAAACATTGTTTTCAATGTGTCCAGAGAAATAATCACTCACTTAGAATTCTGAATATGCAGGAAAAAGAGTCCTTCACAAACGAAATTGAAAGAATATGCCAAAAGACCTGTACTAAAACACTAAAGGAAATTCTCCAGGCAGAAGGAGAATGCCCTGAATTGGAAGCACAAAAATGCAGAAAGGAAAAGAAAGGCTAAAAGGCATAGGGAAACCTGAATAAATGCTGATTGTCAATTAAACAATGACAATAATGTGTTGCAGGATTTAAGATAAATGTAACTAAAATATATCCAGTAATTGCACAGGAGGAGGAAAGAAAATCATGAAGTAAAAGAAAAGCGGTTATCTTTGTACCATCTGCGAAAAAGCAAAAAGCATTAATTTAACAAAGTTTCTAATAAGTCTAGGATGCGTGCTGTAATCCTCAGGGAAATAGCAAAAAAGAAAAGACTGTAGTATTAATTAGTGATCTGATAGAAAGAAAAATCTAAGCTTAAAAATACTTGGTTAATCTAAAAGAAGGGGAAAAAAAGGACTAAGAGGGAACAAAGAGTAAGATGAAAGGTTCAAAGCCAAATATATCAATAACAGCATTAAGTGTAAATAAATATTTCAATTAAAAGAAGATTTTAAAACTGGATAAGACATCAAAACCAACTAAGTACTGCTTATGAGTGAAACACTTTAAATATAAGAACACAGAAAGGTTGAAAGTAAAAGAATAATAAAAGATAAACCATGCAAATGCTAACCAAAAAAAAAACCTGATATACATTTATTAATATCAGAGAGTGTTATTAGCAATAAAGAGGGATATTTTATGATGATAAAAGGGTCAGTTGAACAGAAAGATACAACACGATGCTAAATTTATATTCATCTAATAACCTGGATGCAAAATACATAAAGCAAAGAGTAACAGAACTAAAAGAAGAAATAGTCATCTATAATCACAAGTTAGACATTTTACTGTACCTTTAAACAGTGATAAAATAAGCAAATTGAAAAATCAGTAAATGCAGAAGATTTGAAAAGCAAAACTAACAAAGTGACCTGCAGAAAATACATCCTTTACAAGAGTACATGGAACTTATACTAAAACTGAACACATGCTAAGCCATAAAGCAAGTCTCAATATTCTTTATGATAGAATATATGCAAAAACATGCATTAGATACACCACAATTCAGTCTGCTTTATTCCAGGAATCTGAAACAGACTTAGCATTCAAAAGTCAATCAATGTATAATCCACTACATTGAGAGAATAAAAGAAAACAGCCATGTAATCATCTTAGGAGATACAGTAAAAATGCTTGATAAAATCCAATATCCACGCACAATAAAACCCTTAGCAAGCTAGAAAGAGAAGGAAACTTCCTTAATCTGATAGCAATTATCTATAAATAGCCTCAGAAAAAATCATTCTAAATGATGAATTCTTGAAAGCCTTCACTCTGAAAAAGCCTAGTATTGTAGACAGAGATAGACAACTAAGTCGACAGAACAGAATAGAAAGTTCAGGGACAGGCTAACACACGCAGAAGTCATCTGACTTAGCATAAAAGCTGGCACTGCAGTGCAGTTAGGAAAGATGCATTTCCAACAAATAATCCAAGGTCAACTGGCTATCGCATGGATAAAGAAAAGAAACGACCCCGACCTCTATCTCAAAGCCTGCACAAAGATTAATTTCAGATGGACTGAAGACCTAAGTGTCTCAGTAAGACTTGACTCACCAAGTCTACGGAATCCACGAGCGGCTGGCTTGGTTGAAATACCGAGTCCTCAGTGTCCTCTTCGTTCTTCTTGCAGGGAATTTGCTTTGAAGGAAGCAAGTTATACCACAGAGTGAAAATCTCATTGGAAAAGGGTAGGTCCGCCAGGCTGATCTGAGTTCCCGCCTGTGTGAAAGGAATGGAAAAAAGGAAAAAAAAAAAAAAGAGAGAGAGAGAAAATGAAATGCTTCAGTTCATATTTGCTCCCTCTAATATAATGAAGATTACTGGGCAAGCTTGTTTTAGAGAGAAAAAAAATGCGATACCCATGATACAAAGCACTGGTGAATTTCTTTCTTTTAAACCTGGAGATGTCTTATATTTTCAGGTGTGATTAAGTAAGAAATGTAAAAAAAAAAGAAATACAGTTGACTCTTGAACCCCACGAGGGTTAGGGGGGCAGACAGCACCCCCCACTCTGCCATTGAAAATCCACATCTAACTTTACAGTTGGCCCCCATATTCAAGGTTCCACAGCCTCAGATTCAACCAACCACAGATTATGTAGCATTATGGCACAAATTTAGTAGGAAAAAAAAAACATTCTGTGTATAAGTAGACTTTGAAAGAATCCCAAGGTTGGTTTTTAGACTGGGGTTACAGCTGACCCTTGAACTATGTGGGTTTCAACTGGAGACCGCAGGGCTTCCTGAACACCTGGGCACACCTCTAGACACCTGCATCTGCAACTCTACTGGGATGTAACGATGTTCTGGTCATTGTACACGACGCTGGGTTCAACCCGCTATTAGTGACGTATGAAGTCTTCTGTGCTGGTATGCAAGTATCCTATTGCTCTAAGCAGTCACACTGGTCTTCCAACAAGCCCTAACCCCATCGCTGGGAGAACGTGCTGAAGTAAGGAACTTTATTCAGTGTCCTGCTTAAATTAAATTTGAACAGTGGACTAGGGGTGGGATGTCCTTTTGATATCTATCCATATTCACGAAATGTGTGACCTTGAACACACGGCCACTCTAAGGAGTTCCTCATCTGTAAATGTCATCATACCTTTTTCCTAAGACTGTTGAGGGGACGAAGTGAGATAATGTATGTAAAGTGCCCAGCATCGGGCTCATATTGGGAATAAATAAGCATACTCTACAGTGATGGGCCTAACAGAGGCCAAAGTTCTTTATCCAAAGGTTAGAAATAAAGAACTCGATTTTTCAGAGGATCATAATTGCTAAGCAAATCTGAAAGGTCTGAAATAAAGAGAACGGAAAGCAGAAATCAAGACTTCAGAAATGGTGGCAGAAATGAAGCCACTGCTGGGCTGTGTCGGAGGCACTGGGCAGACAGGCAGTAGTTTGGGGGCTGGCGGAATGGCCACTGGAAAGGGACTCTCAGCACGTCCAGTGGTGTCATCCGAAGGCCGAGATGAAAGGTCCTACCAGGCACTCCTCCCTGCGGGGCTTCCCGACGGAGCACAGGTCCACCCTCAGGGTCTTCTGCTGCAGGGCCGTCTGGGAGACGGCCACCCTGAACACATCATTGAAGAGCAGGGACTCCGCAGCTGGGTGCACTTTCGTTCGAAACAGGCAGCTGACGTCACTTGAGGAGGGAAGCAGGGCAACCCGGAAATACCTGCAAAGGGCAAGGATGAAATGGACTCACGGGTTCAACGATCCTGGCTTCGCAGCTGGTGTCTGAAACGATCCTCCCGGGGGAGAAGCGCAGGGGACACCGACTTCATCGCCAACCCCAGGCTCGCGGCCACTATGGTCATCGTCGTCATACTCGGGGGCTCAGAGGCTCTGTTCCTAACATGCCGGTGCCCCCGGCGTCCTGGACCATATCAGGCCGAGCCTGCCCCCCGCCCTGAGGCCACAGCAAAGGCCCTGGGTAGGGAAGTGAGGGGGATGAAGACCCAGGAGCGGACGGATTTAATCCTGCCTGCCCGCGTCCGGCCGGTGCCACAGTGGCCACCATCTGGACCTGGGAACCCAAGTAGACACGGGTGGCTGTGTCCCAAAGAACACTCATCTTCATTAGACAAGAAATGCTGATGCTCATTCCCTAGGGATGGGATGCCTTGTCCTTCCAGAGGGAAAGAAACACTAAGGTGTGTACAGCTATGGCAATTTAAGAGGGTGAATCTCTAACAGTTCAAAAAATCACTGCCTAGCATCTCAGAAGTCTCAGATATGATAAACAGTTTTATGCTTTGTCAAATTCAGAGGAAGAGTCTGACAAATACAGGTACCATCTACCACCACATTCAAGTGAGTTTTCTGAGCACATATTACATGAGGACCCACAGTTCCTACAAACAGCAGGAGGTATCTTCTGTTAAATTCCCAGAAGAGAATACCCATTAAATATCCCTCCCCACTGCCCCATTTCCAGGCTTTCTAATTCACATTCTAAAGAGCATCCTTCTCTGATCATAAAAACTATAAATTCACATGAAGAACTGAGGAAGGCCGTATTATTTCTGTATTTCGTATCGACACTGATTACGGGGGCTCAGCATGAAAACCCTAGTGGACCCCGGGCTGCAGCCGTTAAGGCTGGAAATGCAGCAGGAGAAATCGTCTTTCTCTGCCTTCCTGGTGTCATCCAGTGGCTGAGTCGTGTCCGACTCCTCGTGACCCCACGGACGGCAGCACGCCAGGCTCCCCTGTCCTCTGCCATCTCCCGGGGTTTGCTCAAACTCATGTCCACTGAGTCAGCAATGCCATCTAAACATCTCATCCTCTGCCTCCTCCTCCTCCTTTTGCCTTCGATTAGGAGGGAGGAGTCACCGATAGAATCATCAGCCAGTCATCCCTGAACACTGCTGATGGGGGCCCCGAACCTCAGCGCTGGGAGGCAGGCTCCTGGGGTGATGGAGCCACCCCCTTAAAGCCCCACCTCACTGCCCCGTTCATAAAACCAAAGGACGGGGTGGGCCCGCATCACCCCCTCTTCGTCTCTGTCTAGAGCTCATGAAGGCATGGCCAGCCCTGCCATGTCTTTCCCCATGTCTTCACCTGGATGAACTGCCAGATGAATGTGAAGTTCTTCGATTTGTTCTCCAGCGATTTTACTTACACTTTTGAAGAGTGAGGTATCAGGAAGGCATGAAGATTTCGGAGTTGTGCTACCAGCACCATAAAACTTGACCTTTTTGCATCATATCTGTTCAGAGAGAAGTGGATGAGGTGAGGCAGGGCACAGGCCGCTCGCTGGCGCACGGAGGCCAGAAGCCGCCCTTCCGGAGCCGTCCTCACCTCAGCCCGATCTGCACCTGGGCCGTCTCCATGACCGCGGCGTCCTCCTCATTGTACGGCACGTCCTCGACCTCATTGGGCCTGCGGGCGGGGCATGGGCAGGCGCGGGTCAACGCTTGTGAACCGGGGCACCTGGAGCTGTGGTCGCTGTCTGCCTGCGTGCGTGCGTGCTAAGCCGCTTCAGTCGTGGCTGACTCTTTGCGACCCCATGGACCGTAGCCACCCCCCCACCCCAGGCTCCTCTGTCCATGGGATTCTCCAGGCAAGAACACTGGAGTGGGTTGCCATGCCCTCCTCCAGGGGATCTTCCTGACCCAGGGATTGAACCCACGTCTCTTACATCTCCCTGCATCAGCAGGCAGGTTCTTTACCACTAGCGCCACCTGGGAACTGTCTGCCCCTCACCAATTCTGAACAAAAACCCGAACTAACGGCACTCCTGGACCGGCCCGTGGGCCTGACCCCAGTGCAAGCTTGCTCTTTCAAATCTGGCTTCCCCTCATCGGGAGGACTCTGCACCTGGGCCCCGAGGGGGAGGCCCGCCTGGTGGCCGGCTTCCCCACGGCTCCCCGGGACGTGCCGCACCCTGGACTGGGCTGCCCGAGACCTGCACACACGAGACGCTCTGCGCGCCAAACAGGCACTTGGCGGCTCCTGCGGCGTGCCCAGTCAATCAAGCTTGTGGGATTTCCCTGGTGGTCGTGTGCAGGGGACACGGGTGTGACCCCTGGTCTGAGAACTCAGATCAACACGCCCTTGCACCACAGCTACACGAAGTCTGGGCTCCGAAGCTAGAGAAGCCCACGAACCACAGTGGAGATCCCCAGTGCTGCAACCCAGACCCGACACAAATAAAATAAAAAAATCGCGTTTATGTCTCTAAGAGGCTCAGCTGACGAGCACATCAACCTGTTCCTCACTTCCCTGCCAGTGGGATGCTGCTGGCACCCCTGACCTTCTCTGATGCCCACAGCCCTTCCCGCTGCAGCGAGTGGACGGAGGGCCAGTTACCCACACGCCCGGAGGTGTGCAGCAGCCGCTCGGGCTGGGTCCTTACTGTTTCACGAACGCTTCGTAGACTCCGCTGTCCCCAGCCACCGACTCATCCGAGACCGCAGCTGACACGCAGGCGGTCTTCTCCCCCAGCAAGTGGATTCCCCTTCTTTTTGGTAACGATTTTTCCACATCTAGGGAGGGGAGAGTGATAGCAGACATTAGGATTTCTTCTTAGGAAAAGTTAAGTCTAACACACACACATACACACACACATGCACGCACACACATGGTTTGGTTCCGAGAAAGTCAAAATAAAATTTCCACTGAGAATCAAGGATGTTACTCTTCAAATCAACAGAGGTGGATGATTCGAGGCGCTATGACTTACAAAATCCTGGGAGGCTCATTATTTTGGTCATTATTTGAGGCAGAATCTGGTGTTCCCCTGTCCCGGGATATTTTGAGGGGAGGGATCACCGGCACACACTCTCCTGGGTCCCCTGCCTCCCTTGTCTCGGGGTTCACTACAGACACCACGGTCAGGGATAAGAAGCTGTCTGCCTCCCTCAAGTGTTGGAGAAGTTTCTATAACAGCTTCTGGCGCTCGATGGAAGAAACGTCTTTGCCTCTTTTGCTCGCCCCTTCTCTCCAGTCTCCATCTCCCCAGCTGCTGCTCTAATAGAAGTTAAAGGGGAAATGTCTTTGACTTACAGAATTCCTCACTGGCTAAATACCATTAAAAACTGTGAGTTACTCAATTCTCAATGACTCCCACTTAACTTTTATCTCTGACTCATATTCATGGCCAGGCATCCTGCGGAGAGCCGGCAGCCTCGTCTGAAGCTGTGCCCCTGTGTAATAGGCGGCAAGCCCGCGGCGCGCTTTCATCCTCGGGCCAGCGGAGAGCCTGGATCCACGCTGGTATGCATTTCACCTCCCTTCTGAGTCATGACTTTACATCTTGTTAAGATGTTTAAGTCTTGAGGCTCTAGATTCTGGATTGATGGCTGCCTTGCCCTTTTTATTTCAGGCAGGGGGAATGCTTCTTCCTTGATGATGCAGTGCCTTCTCTCCGCCCACCCCTCCTTCACGAAGGGTGAAGGTGATGACATGATTTATTGATTACCCCCAGGAGTAACCACAGCAGCCTGAAGTTGACTGCGACGGTGACAGAGACTGACAGCGGAAGGACTTCGGAGGTATTCTGGCTTGATTTCCGCCCTCCAGCAGGGACAGGACGAACTCAGGAACTGTCCTCAGGTCCTTCAGGCCCGCAGCACAGGAGAAAGGAACAAAACCCACTCCTCTTTCTTCCCTCTCTCTTGCTTTATCTTCCTTTTGTAGATGTCAGTGGTTTGTGGTAGGAACTGGGTTTGGCAGAGTTTGCATTGCTCAGAGTCACGGGGGTGATATTAACTCCCGTGAGCTGCATGCTGAGCGCCAGGCATGGCTGATGCTCCTGATGCATTACGAGAGCATCAATCTTCCCAGCACCCCATGAGGTAGATACCGTCTTGCCCCCACCTTGCAGGTGAGGAACTAACGAGCCTGAGAGACGGGGCGATGTGCCCGCTGGAACTGAAGGGCCCCTGAGATGTCAGAGCAGGCTGGGCTGGCTCCAGGGGGTGATGGGCCCCAGTGCCACACACCGCATGCCTTCCCGGGGGCAGGCGCGAGGAGGTCTCTGCTTTGCTGGAGCTATTCTGTAAACACCGGTTCGGTGCTCATTTTCTTTGCAGCTAATTATCTCCGTAACACGTCACTTGCAGCTTTGGCACCTGCCGGGCGAGCGGCAGAGGAGCCACGCAGCATCCCTGTCTGTGCCCTGGGCGCTGGAGTCCATTTCTCATCGTGTTCAGGGCGGGCTCCTCAGACCACAGCTGTGATCAGCTGCCAACCAAGGTGCGCGCCATCCCGGGATCTTTACAACCACATCTGCTGTATTAAAAGCTCCGGCCTTGCAAAGGCAAGCAATTAAAGCGTCTTAGCGTTCCCCTCTGTTTCTGCCTCTCTGAGCTCAGAGGCAGGAGTGGGAACTCAATCCCACGGCAGCTAGTACTGCAGCCAGCAGGTGGCAGGACGACACCGCAGGCTGGGACCTCTTTCTCCAAATTAACTCTCCGCAGAAAGGGAGAGTCTGGCATGAAGCAGAAACTGTATTTATAGAGAATTCCCACCGCAATCTAAACACTGAACCTTGGTCCTAATTAGCTGCTATGCTAATTGCCTTGGTTTGAATCTGTTTTAGGCTAACTTTGAAAAAAAAAAAAAAAAGTCCTCTTCCCCACCTCACTGTTTCAGAAACAGACCCTTATCTGGAAGCCTGAAGAATGTTCACAAAGTATGTCCCCAGGCAGCTGCAGGACACAGCAGGGTTCCAGATGACACAATGGACATTTAACGGTTAAATCTATTAAACACGGAAGGCGATTTGTATTTGATGAGGAAAAAAAAATCTGCAAGTTATAGCAATAAACGTTCTTTCCCAAATGAAGCCAAAATGAAAAAAGAGCAGCAGAAAGAGAAGGGGGACGTGCAGCAACACTCGCTCCCAGGGAAAAAGTAACCCCCCTCACCCCTTGAGACGGCTCAGCGGGGGCAGCTCAGGGTGGGGTCTCCGTGTACCTGCGGGCCCCTCGTACAGAGGCTCCTGAGCACACTCGCGGAGCCCCTTGTTCCCGTCCAGCAGAGACGGGGGTGCTCCTCCCGGGTCAGGGTCCAGCAGTGGCTGATGCTCCCCGAGGCTGATGTCTGCGAAGTGGCCGCTCAGCTCGCAGTCCTCCAAGTCAGCAGAGAGCTGATGGAGCGGGCCGTCGTGTGCAGACATGGGGAACGCGCCTTCCAAGCCCAGGGGGGAGCCGGGCGGGGACAGGGAGGACAGGGAGGACCTCGAGGACAGGGATGTCACGGACTTGGGGGCCTCGGCCAGGGGGGCGGGGCGGCCTGGGGCTGCGGCCGCCGCCCCCCCGGGACCGCTCTGGCCAGGCTGGCTGGGGGATTTGGCCACCTCGTGTTCGTGGATGGTGGTGATGGGGCCGGAAGGCATGTAGCCGCCTTTCTCCTGCAGGAGGAAGTCCAGTTTGTACTGATAATCCGCGTCCAGCTGGTCGCCCTGGCTGGTGTAGTAGAGCTCGCTGGAGCTGAGGGAGTTGAGCGACCCTCTGCTGGACGTGTTCAGGGACCCCCGGCTGGAGGCCAGGGAGCCCAGGCTGCTCCCGGAGGACATGGACAGGGTGCTGGCGGAGAGGCTGGGAGAGGAAGGCGCACAGTGAGAACTCGGACGCGGGCTTCCCTGGTGGCGCAGCGGTGAAGATCCCACATGCTGAGCAGGAGCTCAGCCCGTGCACCACAGCTATTGAGCCTGTGCCCTAGAGCCCGGGAACTGCAGCTACTGATGCCCCAGCAGCCTGGAGCCTGCGCTCGGCAACAAGAGACGCTGCCGCCGTGAGAAGCCCAGGTGCAGCACCGAGAGTGGCCCCTGCTCGCCGCAGCTGCAGAAAAGCCCATGCAGCGACGGAAAATCAGCACAGCCAAAACAAATAAACAAAACTTAAAACACAAAAACAAAACAAAAAACTTCCATGATGTGGATGGAAGCCCCTGCTGGCTCCTTCGGCAGACAGGGAAGGAGCCCAGCGATGCCCAAGATCAAGGTAAACGCCCAGGGAAACGGCACCTGCTGCCACACCGCACGTTTCCACGCCTAGTCATGAACATTTCCAACCCGGCTCTCTAAAGGCTCTTTAAGGAGCAAGCCTACCCTTACCAAGATCACCCTCCTCGTGTAAAAGTTCACAAAAAATTTAAAAAGGGATCGAACATCTATCGATAAATCTATCTGCGTAAATATCTGTAAGCAAATGTGCAATGAAGAATATATAAAAATGTGTGTGTGTGGTGGTGGTGGGGTAAACAGTAAGAAGGATTAATGCAGTAACTTTACTTAAAGAAGGAAATCTTTTATTGTTTGTAAAAGATTTCATTTTCAGCTTCTAAAGAGGAAGGCTGCTGGGCTCACTCCCTTTCTTCCTCTTTCTGTGTATATTTTGGAAGTGAATGTGTGGCTATTTTAGGGCAAAGCTCCCTTTTTAAAAGAAGGGATGATGTGGAGAAATGTGTTATTTTCCTAAGTATGTCCTGATCATTCAAATATGTCTTCTTCCCAACACATTGCAAACAGCTTCCAAACAGGACCCTGGGGTTCATGTAAGCAAACAAACAAATCTCTCCAACTTTAAATTTGGTCAGGTTTTAACTATACTAGTGTAACTATTTTCTTACTTTTAAGTCATCAAAAATAAAGAGGAGGTAATTGAAGCAGAATTGCAACATGCCTGAATGTAGCCAAGAAAAAATTTCCCCTCAAGAACCAAACAGGCTTACTTTTTAAGTTGTGAATGCAAATATGTAGTTAGTTTAGTAGTTTCTTCAAGTTTCTGTAGCAGCTCTTTCCTTCGCTCTTCCAATTTCAATCTAGACCAAAAAAAAAAGAGAGAAATAAATTTATTTTCACATAATTATGATAAGCATGGAAACTGAAGTGGAAATAAAAAGATTCTTATTATTTTCCCTTCTGAAATTTAAATGAACTTGACAGAAAGAAAACAGAAGGAAAGTGGGCAGATTAACAGCCACTGAGAGAAGGGGAGAGACGTCTGAGTGGACAGTGTTACTAGAACTTGTAGAATTCTGGTGTTCTAAATTTTTCTCAAATGAGTAAAAAAACCTCACACTCACAAATTAGGGAAAGACAATGGGGAGGAAAAGAAAACAAAAGAGATGAGCGAAGATTAAGGATCCTTCTGCAGGCTCATGACTTCCGCTTCCGTTACTAAAACATCAGACAACAGTAACAGGGAGTTAGGAAAGATCATCTGAGCACGGAATTTGGTAAGGATGGTTCTGAAATCATATTCAGTGACAAGAATTCCAATCTCATTTTGATGAGAATTCTGGCGATTAAGACACAAATTAGTCCAGTGTCCATACTGCCAGTGTGAGCTTATCTTGGCTTAACCCTTTGAGCAAGCAAAAGACATAAAAGTGATTTCCATCGAAAGCACCTCTAATCACCTGCAACTGGATTTTCATGAAATTTAATCCACATTCAGCTGAACAAGTTTTTATGAGATTGAAAAAAAAATCCAAGTATTATGGAATTGTGTACTTGAGTAAGCCATTTTAAAAACACATCAAGCATACTGACTACATCAGGGTCTTTAGATATCATTGCAAAGAGCAGAAGGGGACCCAGGAAACCACCACGATTTTGATTCTGGGGTGGGCTGCTTACTGGCGTGTCCTTACGGTAAGTCACCTAACCGTGGCTCCTGACTTCCTCATCTGTAAAATGGTGATTATAATCCTGCCGCGTCCACCTGCTAAGGCTGTGCGAGGGATCAAATGAAGCCAGCCACGTGCGTGAAAGAACTCCACAGACATCAAAACCAACCTTCCGTGTTCAGAGCCTCAGCACACCCTGCGAGGTGCCGATACAAAAATTAGCTACTTTTCTTTCCAGAAAAAGAAAACTTCCCTAATTTTTCAACCTCTTTGAAATCTCATGTACATTTTAGGCAGCGAGGAAACATGCCCATATTTTATTTATAGATATCTATCCTTTGATGTGTCACCAACACAATTTCACTCTGTGTTAAAATTAAAAAAAAAATAACTCTTGTCATTTTGTTTAGTACTTCAAAGGATGATAAATTCTTAATTCACAGCTTTCACAGGTGTATTTTGAAAAGGAGTACGGTCCCTGTTTTTTTTTTTAATCTCTTAAATATAAACAAAAACAAGGAAAAATATTAATTCAAAGTAGATGAACTGAATTAGAAGGTACACAAAGGTCTGGAGAAAGTCCTTCAATCCACCTGATACAGAAGCAGTACTTTTGAGGTAAGTTTTAAAACTAAGTGTCACACATACACGAAGGTTTTCTGGTGTGTTAAAAAGCAGAGACATTACTTTGCCAACAAAGGTTCATCTAGTCAAAGATATGGTTTTTCCAGTAGTCATGTTTGGATGTGAGAGTGAATATGGATGTGGACTGTGAAGAAAGCTGAGCGCCAAAGAATTGATGCTTTTGAACTGTGGTGTTGGAAAAGACTCTTGAGAGTCCCTTGGACTGCAAGGAGATCCAACCAGTCCATCCTAAAGGAGATCAGTCCTGGGTGTTCACTGGAAGGACTGATGCTGAAGCTGAAACTCCAATACTTTGGCCACCTGATGCAAAGAACTGACTCACTTGAAAAGACCCTGATGCTGGGAAAGATTGAAGGCAGAAGGAGAAGGGGATGACAGAGGATGAGATGGTTGGATGGAATCACCAACTCAATGGACATGAGTTTGGGTAAACTCTAGGAGTTGGTGATGGACAGGGTGGCCTGTCGTGCTGTGGTTCATGGGGTCACAGAGTCGGACACGACTGAGCGACTGAACTGAACTGAAGGAGGCTTCAGTGTGACAGCATGTTTCATGCTGTAATTTAAATTTGAAGCTTTCTGTCCTAGTCAGTCATGCTTGATGGTCCCCGTGTCCTCCCCTGATGATGGCTCAGGTGCTGCTCTTTTGGACCCTTTCTGGTTCCCTTGAACCCCCAAGGCCTGGCCTGTGTCCCCCCACTGGACCCCAAGCTCCCAGAGGGCAGGCCCCAGCTCTTTCTCCCCATTGCACCCAGGCTGCCTTGAGAGCCCGGGACCCCCTCCCCAGGCCCCGTCCAGCAGGTGTCTAGGTAACAGGTCACTGGGAGAAGCTTAACAAAGGCCCCAGGAGTCACAGAAGCCCTGCCGGGGGGGGGGGGGGGTGGGGGGGCCGACTGTCACTGCCCTTGGTCAAGCGCCCCGCCTCCTGTCTTTGATGAGATCAGAGCCTCTCCTGGTGGGAGCTGGTTCCCGGTCTCCTTCCTGGAAAATGACCTCTCCCCCTTCTGCAGTAGGGCCAAAGATGCTGCTCAGATGTTAGCCTTGTCTCATGACACCCTTTTCCAGCCCCGGCCAGTGGTCCTCCTGAGTGCGAAGGATCTCTTCCAACTGGCCCCGAAGGACCCCTCCCACGGTCCCACGGCTCGGCTGCCCTTGGCAAGACAGGGTGCCTTGGAACCCCTCACCTCTGCCCCTGGTGTCCCCAGGGGGAAGGCGCACGTCATCTACAGAAGGAACAAGTTCCTTTCCCATTAAAAAACAAAAACAAAAACCCCACTCATACCCCCCCCCCACTTGCTATAAATTTTTTTCAGTGAGTGAAGTGAAAGTCGCTCAGTTGTGTCTGACTCTTCACGGCCCCATGGACTGTATAGTCCATGGAATTCTCCAGGCCAGAATACTGGAGTGGCTAGCCATTCCCTTCTCCAGGGGATCTTCCCGACCCAGGGATCGAACCCAGGTCTCCCACATTGCAGGTGGATTCTGTACCAGCTGAGCCACAAGGGAAGCCCTTTTTTTCAGAGCCAGTGGCAAAAATATTCATATAATTAAGAGAGAATGAAGACATCTTGGCAAGATGTAAGGCAAAACCCCTAAGAGCTGCGAAAAAAGAAGAAGCAATGTTAAGATCTTATTAGCTGTTGGAAAGTGCAGGGTTTAAGGAATCTGAGTAACTGTAAGGAAAGAACAGACAGATGCATAGGAAGGCTTTTTTCATTTGAGAGCCATTTCTCTTTGCAGGAGATGGGTCACACAAAGCATTGTTCCGCCCGATGCGCTTTATGACCACTAGGGGGCGAGCTTGGTCCCCTTGGTCCTGAGAGTCAGTGACCCCCAAGGACTGGGGATGGGGGACTCTGGGAGCTCACACGCCGGCTGAAAATTCATGTGAGTTCTGTGGGCTCCTGCAGAGACCACAAGTCAGTAATGACCCAGGTTCTCACCTGAGAATCTCTTAAATCTTGAAATTTAAGAGACACAGACACAGACACTCAAGAGCATCAAGGTTAATTCAAGCAAACAACTGAAGTCTGCCTTCTGACCCTTACGTTTTGTTTGTTTTGGTCTTGCTCAGATGGATCCCTGCCTGGCCAGCCCGGCTTGCACCTGCAAGATGTCAGCGCGGGAGGGGAGGAGACGCAGGGTAGTGATGAGAAGTATTTAAGACGGTGAAAGGCCGTCATCTGTAAAGGGTCCTCCCGGATACTTTCTCACGCTCCTGAAAGGTGTGACGCTGCAGCCATGAGCCACCTCCTTCAGCAACTTAACTCACAGAGGCCAACGCTCCCCACATGGTCATGGTTAAACAGGTGCCCACATTAATGCGTGACTAGGAATGTCAGAGGTGTTTTTCCCTGCCCACCACCCCCGCCTTCTCCACCACTCTACTTCTCAAATGCCTTGATACTATGTCAACACACAACCTTAAACGTGTATAAAGGACAAGGCATGCAAGAAGCCAAGAAGTTTAAAAAAAAAAACGAAAAGAAAAAAAGTGATTGGATTATGGCTGGGGATTTTAAACTTACTTCCAGGTCACCTGAAAATACACGAATGTGAATTTCTTGCCCTTCATTCTGCTCCTTACCTGTGGGCCTAAATGATGTGGGGTGGGGTTCTAAAGGGCTACCTGGCTTATGGTTGAGACAGGGAAACAGGGGTCTGGGCATCGGTCAGCCCGGCCTGGACCCCGACGGGGGATAGCCTTATGGTGAACCTGCACACAGGGGTCCCCCGGCTTGAAGTGCATCTGATCTGCTTACAGAACTGCACTTTTTTTTAGATCAAATGATCAATTTACACCTTCCCACAGGAAGATCTAAAAATGGCTTAAAGTATGTTCCCTTCTATTTTCCACCTGCTTCAGTGAGGGTTTCAACTGACAAAGTCCAAGTGAACGTCTTGTGACCTGCTGAAATATCCTTGTGAAGTGAAAAGCAATAACCTTTTGCATTCCTGAGAGTAATATAGCCCAGAGTGGGAAGCTTCGGGGCTCTAACAGTCCAGATAATCTCTCTTATCAGAGTGCATAGTTTACAGCTACTGTTATCAGACTGCATTCCTGGTTTTCTGTCAACATTCCTTAGCTATTCAACATCTGTCTCAGGCATTTTCACGTTCTCGACAGTTACCGAGGAGGAACCACGGGGCCCAAACCGCCTCTGCTTTACTGCTCTATGGGGCAGGTCCTTCCATGCTGGCGTTTGGTCCACCAGAGGCGGGACCAGCGAGGCCGGCCCGGGCCCCGGGCGGGGCACGCACCTCTCGGCCAGGGCCCGGCGGGGCGCGCCCCTCACGGCCAGCAGCTCCTCCTCCAGCCGCTGCCTCTCGGCCTCCAGGCTCTCCAGCTCGTCCTGCGTGCGCCTCTGCGGAGTGACGAACTGCAGCTCCTTCAGAAGCTCTTCCTTCTCGTGGATCAGCATCAGCTTCTCCTTCTCTATGTCCAGCGTCCCAGGCCACGCCTCGTTGTCCAGCTTCGAGAGCTCAATTTTCAGGTTGGCCATACTGAAATAAAACCTAGAGTCAGTATCTTCTAATAACCTATAATGGAATATAATCTGAAAAATAACATGGTGGTGGTTTAGACGCTAAGGTGCGTCTGATTCTTTTGTGACCCCATGGACAGTAGCCTACCAGGCTCCTCTGTCCATGGGATTCTGCAGGCAAGAATACTGGAGTGGGTTGCCATTCCCTTCTCCAGGGGATCTTCCCGACCCAGGGATAGAACCCATATCTCCTGCATTGCAGGCAGATTCTTTACCATCTGAGCCACTGGGGGAGCCCCCATCCCCAAAATAATATATGTGTATATGTATAACTGAATCACCTTGCCGTGCACCTGAAACATTGTGAGTCAACTGTACTTCTATAAAATATATCTATTATGAAAATAAAATAAGAAAAAATAAAATGGACTTGCACTTTCTAAGAAGTCCCAAGGAGGGGAAAACTTAGGCAGGCTAAGTCTGGGGTTGACCCCCCAGGGCAGCCATGACGGGCTGACCGAACCGCAGGCCCCAGTCTGGTCCCTGAGCTGATGCTACCCTTACTTCTCATCTGCCTCACCCTCTCCACCTTTAAAATCCAGGTTATCACACCTACTACCTGAAAAGAAGGATGAAGGTCAAACTACACAGATGCTTAAGAAGCAGAGGACCGGTCAGCCCTGATCACTGAACACCTGAGGGCTTTGTTAAAAAAAAACACACAACTCTGGTGAGTGATGTCTGAAATGCCCTTTTTCTGGCTCTCTTCCTCTGGGTCGAGATGCTGTCCCCGGGGTACACTGGCAGCAACTGAAGATCAGCCAGTCAGGGCAGGGGAGAGGACAGGGCTGGGCCACCCAGAACCAGGACCAAGGCAGCCCCTCGAGATCGCAGCATCGCCAGCGAAGAGCTGGCCGGGCTGAGCCTCCTCCAGCCACTTCGTTCGTCCTCCGGCTGCACACAGGGAGCTCGCTTCCCACGCTGCGTGCTGCCCGGGCCGGCCCCGCGGACGGTGCGTCGACCTGGTCTTCCTCTGAACACAGCTGGCAGCGGCGTCCAGCACAGGTGGTGGGAGTGGCCCCACCAGGGTGGCGGCAGGAAGGGGCCCCGAGGCCAGGAACGTGGGGAGGAGGAAAACGCAGCTAAGGGACTCCTCCCCAGCTTCATGATTTTGCTGATCCCAGACCTCACCGCATCCAGGGCTTCGTACTCAATGATCAAGTCAACTCCCGATTCAATCAGAATGACCACCTGAATCCAATAACTCGGTCTGGGGCACCGTGAGGACTGTCGGGACTCTTCAGGAGAGGAATGGCCCTTGGCTGTTTTGACCACAAGTATAAGATCAAGACAAACTATGGGGACTCCCCTGGTGGTCCAGTGGCTAAGACCCCTCACTCCCAACTCAGGGGCCCTGGGTTCCATTCCTAGTCAGGGAACCAGACCCCACATGCCACAACTAAGAGTTTGCAAGCTACGACTAAGACCTGGAGCAACGAAACAAATAGGTAAATAAATGTCTTTCAAAAAGGTAAACTATGAACACAACTGATATTGGCATACTACTAAGTCGCTTCAGTCGTGTCCGTCTGTGCGACCCCATAGACTGCAGTCCACCAGGCTCCCCCATCCCTGGGATTCTCCAGGCAAGAACACTGGAGTGGGTTGCCATTTCCTTCTCCAATGCATGAAAGTAAAAAGGGAAAGTGAAGTCGTTCAGTCGTGTCCGACTCTTAGCGACCTCATGGACTGCAGCCCACCAGGCTCCTCCATCCATGGGATTTTCCAGGCAAGAGTACTGGAGTGGGGTGCCATTGCCTTCTCCGGATATGGGCATGAGGAACCCCATATTCCTATTTCAAGATGCTGGATGGTTTTCTGGCATTATCACAGCATATACCAGAAGACGATGAAGATAGAAACAGGGGCGCCTGCCCCCTCTTGTAGATGGAAGACATTGCAGAAGAGAAGAAAAAGGTGACTGAAAAACGTTATCAGGACCAAGAGTGAAGTAGCTCCGCATTTTTGTGCCTTCAGTTTCCTGTTTGAGTTAACAAGAAAGTTGCCACCTTAAACTGTGCTATGTGTATAACGTACTTGTGATTTTCACCTGTCGTCTGCACTTATGATAGATGTAACATCAGCTATTCTTCAGCTTTAGCCACAAAACCGTAAACAACTGTCTCAACGTACTGGAAAATTAATCATCAAAATGCTAAATAAGCATGATATTATTAACTTCATTAAGCATGTAAAACAAAGGCTGCAGGAGAAAACAGGTTTCCGAGAAACACAACTGAAACACAAGTAAACACAAAATTCTTTACTTATTCAGAATTAAGGAAGAAAAAGCACTTTCAACACATGCAGAAATCTCTGAAACTTACCATCTCCTCAGAATCACTAGTAACTTTAAAGCTAAACCCCAAATGGTAACAGAAACAGCAATGCAACTGAATGGGAAAGAACAAACATCTTAAGTCTTGATGGGACTGAATTAAATAACTGAAGCGGGAGCAACGATGTAGTGAAAGAAAAAACAGCACCTGTTGCTTGTGGGATCGGGCATTAGGAAGGTCTTGAATTTGATTTGCAAAGAGTGCGTCAAATCTGGGCAAGAAACTGTGATGCTTTCTGGGAACGCCTAGAAGACAAGTGCTGTTTAAGCTCCAGGGGGAGCCACAGCCCAGCAGAAGCTCAAGCTGGCCCAAGGGAAGTCGAGGCAAGTCCCAAAGACGAAGGGGCATGACGCCCACCTCCCCAAGATTAATTCTGAGTTACGGCAGGCCGTTCTCCTTTGGAAAGCCAGGCACCGATCCCGGCTTTGTTTATTTCGGAACTAAGGAGCTCTGGCGGCTCGGGGGCTGGGGTGCCCATAGCCGGAGTGCCCCGAACGGGCTCCCACGTCCCCAGGCCACAGCAGCACAAAGGAGCCCTCAGTCCTGGTCGAGGGGAAAGCGCCAGTCCTGGACGCGAGAAGCAGACAACGTGGGCCACGACACTTTTCCTACCCTCAAGACATTTACAATCCACCTGGGAACCTTTACAGGCGTTAAAATTAGCCGGGTACAATGCTGCTCAGAGAGGCGAAGTGACTTGCTCAAGCTCACATGGTTAATAATTTGTGGAACAAAGCTTAGGGCTCTTTCAGTAAATCAAAGAACCAAGTAATATTAGTAACAGAGGCTACGCAGAGGCAAATACTGGATTGAGGCAGATCAAATAATGGCATTGTTAAAGCCAGACAACCTCTAAGAAATCTGGCCAATGACTTTTTTTTTTTTAAGATTTATTTATTAATTTTTTTGATGTGGACTGTTTTAAAAATCTTTATTGAGTCTGTTACAATACTGCTTCTGTTTTATGCTTTGGGTTTTTTTTTTTTTTTGGCTGCGAGGTCTATGGGATTCCCAGCTTCCCACTCCCTGCATTGGAAGACGAAGTCTTAACCACTGGACTGTCAAAGAAGCCCCTAGCCAATGACTTTTAAATTCTCATCATCACCAGTATTAACGGATGTAGTTCAGTATCCACCCTCTGGGCTTCCTTGCGGTGGGAAACCATGCATGTTCTCAGCTGAGCCGCTCATGCTTCTGATAATACAGGCCTGTGCCCCCAGCGCCTTCCTAGACAACGGAACAGCAGCATCCTCACACTCTTAAAAGGAAAATGATGAAGTGTTTCAGGCAGACCCTCTCTCAGAACAAGCAGAGTTCCTACGTTGTGAAAACCCACTGTGTCTGTCGCCAGCTCAAGGACAGAGGAGGCTCCCAGACCCTCCCCGGAGGCACAGGTAAGAAAAAGGCAGTGAGGCTGTGCTGAAGAAGAGTGGAAAGAGCAAAGGAGGGACCCCCCGAAGTGAGTGACACTCAGACACCCAGGCATCCCCCAGGACACCAGCGGGGGGTCTTCCCGCCGACGCCGAGGAAGGGGCTTGAAACTGTTTACCTTCTCCTAGCTGCTCCCAAGCCCAGCACCCGAGTCTCCGCAGCACTGTCTGGGGAACCAACTTCCTACTTTAAATTGTGAGTAGGTACCATACAGCCTTAAAGCGTCTTCCTTCCAGAAAGAAGGGGACAGTTCCATTCCTGCCCTTCTCATGAATTCTCCTTGTTCTTTTTGGCTTTGGGTGGGCTGGGTAGGGACCCCACAACCTTTATATTCCAAGATCTGAAGGGTGATCTCGGTAAGAACGCGTGGTGAGCGCCCAGGAGATGTCACCACAGGAATGAAGATGAATTCTGGAAAACACCGGGTGAGCCCCTGACCACTGACCGCCACACGGTTCCCCTGCTGTTACCTTCTTTTGGCTTCTTCATACTGGAGGCTCAGCCTGACCTTTTCAGCTAAATTTGATCTACTTCTCACTCCGATCTAGTTTAAAAAAAACAAAAGGGAAAAAGTCAATTAACTCTGCTAATGAATGAAGTAAAACTGCTTTTGTTTCTAGGAAGTACGAGTAATTGAAAAGCTAAAGACGATAGCATCGAAATTGGGAACACCAGTTTGCAAAGGCACTTACTTTTGCGTCTCAGTGGGGACAAAACATTTCTTTTTAATTCAAGCTTGTTGAATTTTTTTCAAAGACTTTAACATCCTTTTCTCTACACATTAAAATCAGGATTAAAAAAAAAATCAGGTAAATGCTTCTGGTGTCTAAGAGTTTATGAAGGGCGTACAGGTCAATAAAATTTATGAACTGGAACTAATTTCCTTGTCTCTGTGAGCCAAAATTTCCATCATTTAACTTCCAACTGCATAAACACAAATAAATTACTTCGAAAATTAATTTTTCAAACAGGTAAGCCCTACTGTTGACCTCTACCTACTCTACTTTCATAGCACAGAATTCAAAGAACACAAAAATAACTGGGAACTTATTGAAAAATAAAAATCTGCTAATGGTGTCCCAAAAGGTGGACTGTAAACTGGTAATAATATTCAAACCACATTAAATATTTTCAAGTGCCAGGTATAAACCACCAAACATTTTAATATAATCAACTTCAGATGTGTAAAGCAAGTTCTTTGGTTTCATTTTTAAAGGCCATATATTTATGTTTTTCATTAGCCTTAATGTGTATTTGGAAGGACCTTAATTTCCAAGGCTCTGAACTTAAGAGGAAGAAACTTCTCACGTGTCTCTCGTCTTTCAATAGAGTCTCTGAATAAATACAGTGTGAGAAAGTTTGAACCAAGCTATTCATCTGGACAGATTTTGATATGCTTGGCACCTAGGCAGAAAAGATAAGGCTAAGATTTGTAAATCCAGTCTTATGAGTAGGAAATGCTGCATGCACACAGCTGGAACCTGCACCCCCTTGCCGGCCCCCGTCCCATCTGCCAGCGACGCAGGGCCCATCCGGGACCATCCAGGCAGGGCCCAGGCCAGCCCTTCCACACGGATGACTTACGTCCCCGGAGATGCTGGTTTGTGAGCCCGCGTCCAGGGTCTGTCTGGAGAGGGAGAGATGTGAGTTCTCGGGGCTGGATCTCAGGTCTGGCTCAGACGTGCCGATGCTCTGGTCCACGTGAAACCGCCCTTGCAGCTTCGCGAGGCTCTGTTCAGGAAACACGAAGCACTTCGTGGAGCCGAGCGCTGAGGCGGGTGAGGCTTCCCCACCAGGGAAAAACTACGTCGGAAGAGCTAATCTCAGTGGAAACAACAATTCCTTTATCTTAGTGGAGAAGGAAATGGCAACGCACTCCAGAGTTCTTGCCTGGAGAATCCCAGGGACAGAGGAGCCTGGCGGGCTGCTGTTTATGGGGTCGCAGAGTCGGACACAACTGAAGCGACTTAGCAGCAGTAGTGGGTGTCTACCTCTTTAAATGACTGAAAAAAATAAGGGTACAAGACAGCTTTTGCGCATACATGCAGACTCTGAAAACATGTGAGATCATATTAAAACAGGTTATCTTCTCTTTCACCCTGTGAATCATGGTATTTTTATATGTAATAGATGTATTTCTTATTTTAAAAATTTTTTGAATTACTTTTTTATTGAAGTATAGTTGAAATATAATGTGGTAATTACTGCTGTACCACAAGGTGACTCGTTATATATACAAACGCATTTCTCATTTTGAAAAATTTGTTAAAAAGAAGTCTATTTTAATGAGGGCCACCCATTTTATGTAGTACAAATTCTGGAGACATGGGATACCTATAATGCAATCTCATTTTAGATAAAGCAGGCAAACTTTCTACTGAGAAGATGTCTATAGTTATGCCATTTGATATCTGGATAGGATCTAAGACATTATTTAGCTCATGTAGACGTTAGAGATTAGGAAATAGACCCCAGAAGCTGCAGTCTATCAGTACCAGCGATGATGTTTGGTTTGGGGAAGTGCATAACTACAATTGAACATGACTGCTGTCCGCATCCAGGTTTAATATAGTGAGTTTATTTTAGAGGGAAGATGTGAACCAGTGATAGCATTAAAAATGAAAAGTCTAAACTTCTATCACCCCCCACCCCTTTACAAACACTAACAAAAGCGTAAGAAGCTCATTATTATTGGCTGTAAGAAGAGCCAGGATTTATTCCTGATATAGAAAATCCTCATGATAGGAAATTAGAACTATCAGAGATCTGAAACTTGTTTTTTACCTAACCTCTATTTTCTTTCAAAGGCATTTTTATACAAAATGTATATATTTTTATATAAAATGTATGAGGGATAAAGTGTAAAATGGTCACATGGAATAATACATTACAAAAAAGAACAAAGAAACCTTTTAAAGACTTTGGACAAGTCTCTTCTACTTTTTTATGTGAACAGTGAAAATATGTATACTTTTTTAAACCTATCTGGGATGACCACAAATTCAATTAATTTAGTAGGTCATGTGGAGAAGGAAATGGCAGCCCACTCCAGTATTCTTGCCTGGAGAATCCCAGGGACAGAGGAGCCTGGTGGGCTGCTGTCTATGGGTTGCAGAATCAGACACAACTGAAGCGACTTAGCAGCAGCAGCAGCAGTAGGTCATGACTAGTATGTTTTAAAATGAAATAGAGGAGACTAGGAAATAAAATCAAAGTATATTACTAGTATCAAAAGCAAGCATACTTCTGTGAAATTTGGTGTGTGTGTGTATCTACAGGTAAAGATATTTGTGTTACTGTGTTTTGATGAAAAATATATTTCTTACTGTGGGTCGTATCCAAAGAGGTTTGAAAGTCACAGAAGATATCTAAAGCCCTTTTCAGCTCTGTTATTGATTTCTCTATCTATCACTTATTTTACATATTTTAGTGATTTAAAAGTTATCTAATTTTTAAACTTAATCTGGCCTATGTATAAATTCAAAGTTTACAGGAAGAATCAAAGAGGACCTAAAATTGGTAAATTATGAGGGTCCAATGTAAATCTGTACAAGAACCATTACCTTCTTTCAGGAATGACTGATTTAATCAGCAGGATCATTGTAGAACAACAACAAAAAGCGTATCCAAGTAAAGTTCTGTATGCATTACGTGTATGTTAGAACCATATATTCTAAACAAGACTGCCTGGGTTTGAACCTGGGTCCTGCCACTTATCAGCTGTGTGACTTTCAGTAACTAACTTAACTTCTCTGTACTGTGGTTTTCGTATCTGTAAGTTGAGGATAATAACAGAGCCTATCTTTAGGGCTACTGTGAGAATTAAATGCAGTATTTCTCTGCAAAGCAGGCAGAAGATTGTCTGGCACGAAGTCAGTATTTTAAGTATTTGCTATTATTACTGTTGTCTTTTATATTTAATTGCTTCTTAAAAGATATTTTAAAAATCCCCCAATGCAAAATTATATGGGTTTAAGAATATTCACGTGTATTCAACCAGAATTTTGGAAACTGACATTAAGTAGCTGAATATTTTATTCAAATGTAGAGGCTCTGTTCACCATGGGCTGTAACGTTTTTGAAAGACACAGACTAAATCGTCATCCAGCTAGGTGAAGAATTCCAAATATCTGAACTATTACAAAGAATTCTCAGTGCTTGTGATAATTATGGGATAGAAGGAGGGGAGGAGGAGGAAGAGATACCTCTTAAAAAAAAACATGACTGTATGTGCTATATGTAGACGCAGAACACTGATCGCGCAATGGTTGTTTTATCTGCACACGGGCTGGGCCAGTGGAGCTCAGGTCTGCAGGGTGAGACGTGTACAGGTGTGACCAGGGGATCTAGTGCCATCACCCTGTCTCCCAGGTGACCCCACAGCTGCCCCCCAGCTGGGTCAGCATCCCTCCATGCCACCCCCAGCTAGCACTTCAGAATCTCCTGGGGTGGGGAGTAACTCTTCTAAGATCCTCGCACCCCTCCCCCACTTCTCAAGGTGTATAATCTACTCACTGATGGCAGGTGACAGGCCCTTTCTGTATCCTGGGCTAAGGATCACTTGTTTAGATAACCCCACCTATCAGGGCTCCACCTGAAGTTTGCAGTAAGTTGCAGGATGAACCAAGACGCTAATCTCCATACACAGGCTCCAGGATCCACCAGCCCCTGTCTCAAAGGTCACCCAAAGCCAGCCTCCAAATAAGCATATCAGAACCTTGGAACCCATCTGTTCTCCTGCAAGGTAGTGGCTGGCTCAGTACCTGTAACAATCTCCAATGAGACCAAATTCCGTATGAATGGGGTGCAGGCGGGGGTTGGGGGGGTGGGGTTGTGGTGGAAAGGGGCCATCCGGACTCTGATGGAGAACTTTCTGCTCAAGGACAATTTCTGAGGCCCAAGAAGGCAGTAGTTTGACTTGGGGGAAAAAAATGTTCTATCACATACCTGCATCAGATCTTGTTTTTCTTTTTCTCCTGAGCTAATAGCCTTTCTGATAGATTTCAGTTCTGTTAGGATGGCTTTGGCTTCACTAAGTTCATAGCCACTCTGGCCTCCAGACATTTTTTTGTCAATTCTGTTAAAAGAGAGGGGGGAAAAACAATCAAAGAACGGCAGAGGACAAGTTAAACAGACCGCAGGAATTGGGTGTGGGGATGTCTTGGTTAGCTGATGTTTATTACTAGACTCACACACAGCAGCTTCAGGGTGGTGGTCTCTCCTCCATTCTCTTCTGACCACTTCAAGCTGAGACCCCTGCCACCCCCCCCACCTCATACCCAGCCCACTGCCATCAGCGTCAGGCTCAGGTTTCTTGTTTACAGTCTGGTTGCGTGGTCCCACTGCTGGCTGAACTCAAACCTCATCACACACTGATCCTGGCAAAGGTTCGGGACCCGGGGAACTGATTTAGCAGGAAGACAGAAATGCCAGTAAACTGGGCAAGCCCAGGAACCTTGGGATTCATCACTGCCGTCTAATTTTATGCGCCACGATGTCCGTGCAAAACCTAGCACAGGGCACAGTCTGGTGACCGTTAATAAAGGGTGGTGATTTTTGCTTATACTAGTGAGTATCCTATAATGTTTGGATTGTTTGGTTAGTTTCTTGTTTCTTTTTAAATATATGCAAAGTATTCTATTTTTATGACAGTTATGAGTCAAGATAACATTGCCTGTCTTGCTGAATGAGTTCAAATCTAGGAATAAGACGCAAGGGCAGATGTGTTCATTTGTCCATTAATGTTGCATAAAGAGCTCCCCAGTGAGCTCGCTGACTAGTACTTGGTAAGCAGTACTTGCTTTCTGAACGTCCCACAGTTCACAGGGGCACCCTACGTCAGAGGATTTTAGGTAACTGAATTCTTCGGGGTCACAGGGTCCAACCAAATGACCTAATTCTTAAAAAAAAAAAAAAGGTTCAAGTTCTTCATCATCACCTGTGTTGCTTGAGACTCATTAGGAAAGAACCTGGGCTTTACTTCAGAAACACACAGCCACCCCCCTGTCCCACCAGCCAACAACGCTGTGACATACAGCATTCCCAGACACACAGCATGTCCTTGTCTAATTCCCAGACTCTCCGGAGATACGGTACCTATTAAATCACAGAAGACTGTCTCTGAGCTAATTTGGTTTAAAACATTTACTAATTTGTATGTATTTCAATGTGAAGGGTATAGTCTGAGAAAAAAATTAACGTGATATTTTCTTATTCACTCTTCTAAAGTTTACTCTGAGTGCAGTTTGTAGATAACTTATTTTTCCAAGTAGCTTTAGAAATAACTTATTTTTCCAAGTAGCTTTAGAAAATATTTTATGGTGCTGAACAAGTAATTAAAAGTCTGCAAGAACCTAAGAAAATAAATCTCATCATAAATCAATTTTATAATACAGTACATACAACCAGTGCCACTGGACGTCCAAAGTGGACATACGCCTCTCTTGCTGGCGTCCATCTACACATAAGCTACAGTATCGCTGAGGGCCAAAGTGCAATGAGACCACAGTCTAAAATGAGTAACGGAGAGAATGAGACTACATTGATTCATCCAGCATAAACGATGGCACCAAATAGAAAGAAAACCGGGGCTTAAATCGGTGCAAATTCCACAAAATTATTCCATTTTACTATGAGTGCGAAGTTGTAAAATCCTACAGTGGGATTCTGCTTAAATTTATTCCCAAAATATATTTTTGGTCATAACCCCAAGTAAGATTCCCTTTAGTATCAGGAACGTGATTTTTTGAAAAATATAGTCTCTGGGTATAATCAATTATTCTTCAATCTTCTGGTAGTTACGGTGGTAAACATTTGAATGAAAACAGCTTTATTCTGTCTATAGTTAAGATGCACGAGAGGCGTCTAATGTTGTATGTGGTATCTCTCTGCTCTTGGTTCCTCAGATTAGAATCACTGCAAGAGAAAGCCTGAGTTTCTGCAACAAATGGCTATTGTTTTCTTGTGGAATGTTATTGACAGATTCTTAAACATGCCTTGGATTCCTATAAAAATTGCTTGCAAGCAAACTGCTTTGAAACAATACATCATTGTTACATCGATATAACAAAAACAGCAAGTTTGGCTAACCTTTAATCCTGGTGGTGACATGAGTTATAATTTCAAGTGTCTTAAAAGTATGTAACGTGTGGCTAAATGCTTCCTGGTGTTCCTACCACAACGCCCTCCTGTATGTTGATGGACAACCGACTAAACAACACATTTAGGTGAAGCCAGGTCTGCTCAGTTTTGGGGGTGCACTGCAACCTCCACAGAGGTCCTCTGAACAGAGCTGGACCTGAGAACCATGTGGGGGGCCTTGGGATGGAGACCAGACACATGTGTCTTTTTTAACAGCTCCTCAGATTATTCTAATAGGCGGTCAGGTTGGAGAACCACCAGGATGGGAGCATCTAAAAGAATCTCATGGTCATGATCACATGAGGTGAGTGTCAAAACCAAAGACTGAGCAGGAGAGCCAAGTGTCTGAGATGAAAGTCATGTGGCTGGTGATGGAGAGGAGCGATGGGGATCCTGAAATACAGCTCCTCAACCAAACACACAGAACGATCTGCTCAGATGGCCCGGCCAGTGGACATGTGGCATCTTTAACAGGGTGACGCCTTGCTGCCTCGGATGCTGTGGAGGCAGATGGAGGAAGGGCGTAAGCCTGCCTGGAGAGGAGCCCCTGGGGAAGCCCGGGTGAATCCTGCTTCACTGCCAGGGCCCCCGCGGGCGGCGTGGGAGGAGAAGGGGACCGGGAGGGCTGCCGGATGCCTTTCAAGGGACGACGGCTTCAGCCCTCCCTGAGGCTGTGGGCTGCGTGAACCGCTACTGTGTCCCGGCCTCGGAGACCCTGGGGTGGGCGCTGCGGGGGCTGGACGCCTGGGTGCGCCTCTCGGGGTCTGACAGGAGAACAGCGGCTCCCGGGGGCTGCGGATGGGGCAGAGAGCCCCAGTCCTCCGACCCGCCCTCCATCATCCACGTTCTCGTCCGTCCTGGCTCAGCCTGGGGCTGGGATCCACTCCGCACAAAGCTGGAAGGGGCAGAGGGAACTCGGGAGCCCGGACACTCACTTGGCCGTCTGCAGACACCCTGGACTGGCTCCCTGAGGGCGGGAGGCATCAGGTCCCCCTGGGGCTGCCAGAGGCGGACAGGCCCCCTGGGTCGGGCTCCACAGAGAACCTGGTCACCACAGCCTGTCCTGGGCCCCATCTCCTGGCTTTGCTTTTATGTGAGGCTGGCCGGCAGGCCTGTGAGATGAAGCTGAATCTCTCACTTCGGTTTCCGTGGGTCTTCCACCTATTAGGGAAAACTTCAGACCTTTTCAAAGTGTATAGCAGATTTTCCCAAGTGTCTTTTCACTGTTCTATGGTTGATTGTTTTCTTGTGTTTTTTTTTTTTTTTGTGCCAAGCTCTGTGCGTCCTACTTTACTCTTTGAGAAAAGTCTTATGTCATCTGCACTTCTGCTTTCTTTGGATTGGCTCAGGGGTCTTGGATTATTTGAGAGTTAATTTCGTTATTCTCATACTCACTGTTTCAGAGTGGCGAAGCCTTGTTCTTTATAGAGCAATTCCTGCTTCATCTGTGAGAGTTCTCGCTTCAGCTTTTTGACCTTTTGTGAGAAATCAATGTAAATATGAATGTTTGTAAATAATTAGCGACACAGTTTTAAAAGGTAACCTATTAGTAAACTATTAAACACATAAACACAGCCACTGGTTTAATGTTAACTCGTTTCTCCTGGATATAGATTCCACAGAAGGAGATTAAGTAAGTGTAGGTTATCGGTGATGCGCATTATTACTCAAAGTCGCTCTCATTATCTTCTGTAGCAGAGTTGCTCTGAGCTGGACATCATGACTGGTGGTGCCAGGCAGCACTTTTCTGACCACCCCACGAAGGCCATTACTCTGTTTTGTTCAGTTCACAGCATTTTCCAAGAGCTGAAATTGTCTGTGTACTGGTTTTCTGTCTGTCCCCCATGGAAGAGTAAGCAGCATCACATCAGCTGTACCCCCAAATTTGTAGATCGATACCAGGTGAACACCATGGGGACAACAAATAATTTGTTGTTGAACTGGTAACAATTATTTTTTCCCCATTATCTTTGGAAATAAGAATACTAAAACCTGCCAGGTCAGAGATATGGTACAAGCCTGCATGGGTGTCAGAAACTTATTTCCATATAGTAAGTTGCAACCTAAAGTTTTAGGCATGTTCTGGTGTATAGTAATTCCATGTGTTTTGCACTTTTATTTCCTGTTTACTCTATTCATTCCACAAATATGTGTTGACTCTCCACAGTGTATCAGACCCTGGGTCTGAAAGTACGAATAAAACAGACCTGATCTTTGCCTTTATGGGTTTTACAGAACAACGAGGGGGCCTGACATTGAGCAAATAATTGTCCAATGAAATAAACCTTACCAATTGCCATAGGTGATTGAAAAGAACAGCACAGGATATTTCAAGAAATAAAATGGGGACAGAGGGGCTTCCCTGGCCAGAAGGTCCATAGGCCTCACTGATTGAAGGGTCCCTGCAGGGTGGAGCTTGCGGACACACCCTAAGCTGTGCGGGGCCAGGGCAACCTCAGCAGGCATCTGGGATTTAGAGACGCGGCCACTGCTGGGTTACGGGGTGCCGTGTGGGGCAGGAGGTGGGATGGGAAGAGGAGGCCACGCTGAGGATTTCTAAACCTCCTCCAGAGAACAATGAGAATCAAGACGGGGTCGTAGAGCAGGAGCGGCTTCATGGCTGCAGAAGGCCACTGTGTTGAGTACAGTGGCCCAAAGGGGCCGTCCTGTCTGCAAGGCGGGCGGGCGTGCTACAGGAGACACTTCAGAGGTAGGACCCCCAGCACGGGGTGATGGCCCCAGTGTGGACGGTGAGCGAGAAGATGTGCCAAAAAGTGAAAGGGGAAGTCGCTCAGTCATGTCCGACTCTTTGAGACCCCATGACTACAGTCCATGGAATTCTCCAGGCCAGATTACCAGAGTGGGTATCCTTTTCCTTCTCCAGGGGATCTTCCCGACCCAGGGATCAAACCCAGCTCTCCCACACTGCAGGCAGATTCTTTACCAGCTGAGGCACCAGGGAAGCCCAAGAATACTGGAGTGAGTAAGTAGCCTATCCCTTCTCCAGCAGATCTTCCCAACCGAGGAACTGTACCGGGGGCTCCTGCATTGCAGGTGGATTCTTTACCAGCTGAGCTCCTCGTCAAAGGTCACTTCCAAAACCCTGGGTGCATGAAGGTGCTCTCATGGGGAGGGGGACCGGATTTCTTGGGGGAAGATCAAGGGTTTCTGATAAGACAATTATTTTTCTGATACCCGCGGTACTTAACTGTCCAGACTAGAGATATAGAAGGGAGGGTCACTGACAGAAGGATGCGGTTTTTACATGCATGAGCATAAGTGAGATCCTCTAGAGAGAGTGTGTGCGCAGAAGGGACGGAAGTTCAAGAACAGAACAACTCGGGTGTCTGCAGCGCTCAGAGGTTCATGAGCGGAGGAGATACAGGACATGGTGAAGCAGAGGCAAGAGAAGCCAGGGAAGCAGAGAGCGCTGTGGGCCAGAAGGGAAAAAGTCAAGAGGGAGAAGAGCCGCTCTGAGGACTCAACGACAAGGATGAGGGTGGTATGACACTCTTGAGTCTAGGCCGTGAGGCCCAATATTTTGGCTATAGGAGATGCTCCATAATTTACCTGCTAGGTTTACCAGAAGGCTTAACAGTTTGAGCCCCAATGCACTTATATTTTATTAGGGAAGAGGAAACAGAAATAATTGTGTTAGAAGAACATATATGTCTTCTTATGTGTGTGTGTGTGTCTGTGTGTAGCCGAATCACTTTGCTGTATAAGAGGGATTAACAACATTGCAAATCAACTGTACTTCAATAAAAGTAAACTAAAACAACTGTGTTGCAGGGCCCAATTCCTAACTACACAGAGAGGTACAAACGATGCTTCTGGACCCCAAGGAGGAGAGGACTACCCTGGCCTGGGAGAGGAAGGTCTTGAAGGCGCTTCAACATTCACACAGAGCAACAGCTCACTCACACTGTCCAGTGAGGACTCTCCGGTTTTAGCATCAGACTCTGACCACATCAGGAGCCATCAGTAATCTCAGTTCAGTCCACGTGTGATTCTACTTCTGACAGCACTCTCAAACAGTTTTTTTTTTTTTTAAACCAAAAAGGACCAGCATTTTAATTTAAAAACAACAATAGTAGCAGCAGCAGAAATCCAAAAAAATCAATAGTAACTCAAATAGCTGGGCTGAAACCTGTGTCAACCTTTGAAACATGATGCTATCTACTGAGCCCTCTTGGAACAACCGAATTAAAAGTGTCTCTCAGAGACATAAAACTTGAAAATCATTTGGACTTCGATGATACACCCATCATCAAAAATGATCATTTAAGGACTTTCCTGGTGCTACAGCGGATGGGAATCTGCCAGTCATGGCAGGAGACACGGGCTCCACCCCTGGTCCGGGAAGATCCCACGTGTCACGAGTGATTAAGCGTGTGCACCACAGCTACCAGGCTTCTGTGCTGCAACTATTGAAGCCTGTGTGCCCAGAGTCGGTGCTCCGCAACGAGAGGCCACTGCTAAGAAGAGCTGCCCCTGCTCACTGCAACTAGAGAAAGCCCAGGCGCAGCAATAAAGATCCAGATCAGTCACAAAAAAAAAAGTTTTTTTTTTTTTAATGATCATTTAAAATTTAAATGAACTTCTGACAACTCCGACTCTGCTCTGCTTAAGTGACGTGAGACTGTATTGTGTGCTGGGTGACAAGGATAGAGGAGACTCATGTACCTGTGCTTTCCTTTCTCCTCCGTTATTTACTTTTCCTACACTTGGCTGAAAGCTACTTGCTTTTATCCTGGGGAGGCTTCTGAATGGATTGCATCAGTGACTCTCAGCTGCCTGATATCAATGTGCATGTCATTTTGTTAAGGATGAAAATGTTTGGTTCTATTATAATGATAAGTGAAAACAGGTATTATTTCCAACTCAATGTTACTTGGGATTGTTTCTGGTTTTTAAGAGTTTGGTCTTGGGACTTCCCAGGTGGCCCAGTGGCTAAGACTCTTTGCTCCCAAATGCAGGGGTCTCGGGTTCGATCTCTGGTCAGGAAACTATATCCCACACGCAACCAACTAAAGATCCAACATGCCAAAAATGAAAAAACTCCCACATGCTGCAGCTAAGACCTGGTGCAGCCAAATAAATAAATAAAAGAAATAATTAAAAATAAATAAGAAAAGTAAAATAGAATCCATTTCTATTTCTTATATAAAGTTTCTTATATATAAAGTTGCAAATGGAACTCTGTTAGAATACAATTGTATTTTTAAAAAAAGAGAGTTAGATTGTTAAGTGTCCAACACCTTTTCTTATCAGAGAGCCATCTGACGTCTTTAGCTATCACTGTTTTCTACTCTCATGCTCCAATCCAGTTTCAGTGCAGGACACAGAACATAAAAACAAATACCCTCAGGTCACAGCAAAGGGTTACGCTAGTGCTGACTGCCAAGTTCAGCACAATGTGGACTCAGTTCGGCTCAGTCACTCAGTCGTGTCCGACTCTTTGCGACCCCATGGACTGCAGCACGCCAAGCCTCCCTGTCCATCACCAACTCGCAGGGTTTACTCAAACTCATGTCCATTCAGTCAGCGATGCCATCCAACCATCTCATCCTCTGTCGTCCCCTTCTCCTCCTGCCTTCAATCTTTCCCAGCATCAGGGTCTTTTCAAATGAGTCAATTCTTCACATTAGGTGGCCAAAGGATTGGAGTTTCAGCTTCAGCATCAGTCCTTCCAATGAATATTCAGGACTGATTTCCTTTAGGATGGACTGGTTGGATCTCCTTGCAGTCCAAGGGACTCTCAAGAGTCTTCTCCAACACCACAGTTCAAAAGCATCAATTCTTTGGCACTCAGCCCTCTTTATAGTCCAACTCTCACATCCATACATGACCACTGGAAAAACCAGAGCCTTGACCAGACAGAACTTTTTTGGCAAAGTAATGTCTCTGCTTTTTAATATGCTGTCTAGGTTGGTCATAACTTTCCTTCCAGGGAGCAAGTGTCTTTTAATTTCATGGCTGGAGTCACCATCTGCAGTGATTTTGGACCCCCAAAAAATAAAGTCTGTCACTGTTTCCATTGTTTCCCCATCTATTTCCCATGAGGTGATGGGACCAGATACCATGATCTTAGTTTTCTGAATGTTGAGCTTTAAGCCAACTTTTTCACTCTCCTCTTTCACTTTCATCAAGAGGCTCTTTAGTTCTTCTTCACTTTCTGCCATAAGGGTGGTGTCATCTGCATATCTGAGGCTATTGATATTTCTCCTGGCATTCTTGATTCCAGCTTGTGCTTCATCCAGTCCAGCATTTCTCATGATGTACTCTGCATATAAGTTAAATAAGCAGGGTGACAACATACAGCCTTGACGTACTCCTTTTCCTATTTGGAACCAGTCTGTTGTTCCATGTCCACTTCTTTTTTTAAATTTTTATTTATTTATTTTTTATTTATTTATTTTTTTATTTTTTTCATTTATTTTTATTAGTTGGAGGCTAATTACTTTACAATATT